ACACTCAGGGGCGAGCCCACACTTTCAAGGCTCCATCCTCACCTACCCGCTCCTTGTTCCGCTCCACTGCCCTCTGCCCAGGGCTCAAAGGGGCAGCAGGATGGCGCCCCCTCCCTCCCCCAGGGGGGAGCAGCGAGCGTGGGGAGCAGTGGCCATGGGGTCTGGAGCAGGCCAGCACGCTCCTGTCTCTCCCAGGAGGGCAAGCCCAGACCAGACCTGAATTGCCCCTGGGGCGCCTCTCTCTGGCTCCCTTCCCACCACTTGGCTCCTGCTCTTGGCTGCTCTTGGACACCCCACGCAGGTTCTGGAGCCCCGCCCCGTGCCCAGCAAGCACTAGGTGTGGTACAGCGGAGGGGGGCACCTCCTTGTTGTGGTCACCAGGAAGAGAAGAGACCATCAGGGCGCCAGGGTGTCCAATCAGGTTGCCATTTCCTCGAGGGCGATCCCAGGCTGTGCCCAGCCCCTGGGGCTCCTGAAACAGGGTCGGGGGTTGTAACAAGCTTGGGGGTTCCCAGGCCCAAGGAATGTCAGTCAATGGGACGCTGGTTAGTGTGTTCCTGGGCCTGCCCTGCACGTCTGACTCTGCGGGGGGCCTGTGAGCCTGCATTGTCGTCGAACCTGGGTGGCTCTCACCCTCCGGTGGGTCTGGGCACCTGGCCTGTGAGCTCCTCGCGGGCCGCAGGGCAGGTGGCTGGGCCGTGGGCCGGACAGGCACACAGTGAGTTCTGATGGGGTGGGCGGACGGACGGTCTTAGCTGTCTGGAAAGATGGGTCAGGCTGTTCCAGGGGCAGGGAGCATGGGGTGGGGTGGGGTGTCAGTCTGGACCACGCAGTGTGGGGCGGGCAGAGACGGGAAGGCCGGGGAAGGGTTAAGCCTGGGGCCGCCCAGCTCCTGTCCACTCAACTTCCACTCCATCCCCCGAGGAAATGGGTTTTCCAGGAGTGAACGTGGCCAGCTTGACACGGCTGGCAGAAGGAAGTGACTCAGGCCCTGGGGAGAAAGTGAGCAGCGGGTCCCCTGCCCACGTGCCCCCCTTCTCCCTGCCGACCGTGAGGCTGGCAGGACTGGGCCTGAGCTGGGGCTCCAGCTCCTTCCCTGGTCCAGCTAGTCCTGGGGGAAATTGAGGGGGCTGGGGAGAGTTGGCTTGGAGAAGCCCTGACCGACCTCCGCTCTGCTGGATCCTTGGGGACCCTCTGAGGGTGGCCCATTGTGTCACACTGGGCCGGACTGTTCTGTTCTCCGTGTGTTTACGGAAGGCCTGAGGTCAAGGGTAGCGGCTCCGGAAGGAGCTGGAGGGGGACATTTCCCTGGGGGATGTTGGCCCCCCAAACCCTCTGTCCTAAGCTGGAATAGTCTGCATGGCCTATTGGCTTGACTGTCTCCTCTCTCCTTGCGGGGGGCGGGTCTCTCAAAGCCAGGGGATCTTTGCTAGCTCCATTTCAGTCCACACCTCCACTCCATCCTGTGGTGGTCTTAGAACAGAGAGCTTTGCCAAGCCTCGGTTTCCTCATCTGTAGGGGCAGCTTCAGAGCGTGACTGAGGAGCCTGGGTGCTAATGGAGAAGGATGGTTATTATTTCCGTGGTGCTGTGGAGAGAATAACCCTTCTCAGGCACCCCTGCCCTGGCCCGTGCAGTGTGAGGTGAATCTGATCTGCGGCCCAGTGGCGGGTTCCAAGAGTGTTGATGCCGAGACCCAAGTAGCCCGCAGGTCCCCGCTCCGGGGCCCAGGGACCCTGTTCTGTCGGTGTGGCCTCAACCTCCAGAGTGCAGGCCCCTCCTCCCTGACTGAGCCCAGTGTGCCCCGGGGTGGTGTCCGGGCTTTCTGCAGCCCTGCGGGGGGTGCTGGGAGAGTGTGACCTCCGTTGTGGATACTGACTGTGCCCCCGAGTGGGCTGCGTGGGGTGTGTGTGCAGAGAAGACCTGTGGGCTTCCCCAGCCTGGCAGGAGAGGGGGCAGAGAGGAGGCTATGGCCAGAAGGGGGTGTTCTCAGTGGGGTGGGGTGGGGAACGTGCCGGAGGACAAGCAGCTCAGTGCCCTCCACTGCCCCTCCTGGGCTGGAATCCCCCTGTCCCCAATCCAGTTCTCCAGCCCCTCAGAGGGCCCTGGGGACCACCTCAGGTTATCTGCAAGAGGGAAGTTTTCTGGGTGGGGCTTCAGTTTTCCCATTGCTCCAGGAAAGGAAGTTTCATGCACTAAGAATTTCCTGTCAAGGTGCACTGGAGGGCAGAGGGGCAAGGAGAGGGGGTGGGGAGGCAGGGAATACCCGTGATAGGTCGGTGTGTGGGGGTGGGGGGCTATGGGTTAGGGGCAGGCGTGCGCTGGCCAGAAAGAACACGGGTATTCAGCTGACACGATGGCCCTGCTCCAAGTCCTTCACAGGAGCCGATTCCTTTAATCAATTCATTTAACTCTCACAACTTTTGAAGTTGCTTAGATGTTTATTCCTATTTACAGGCGAAGAAATTAAGGCCCAGAGAGGGTGGGTAATTCATCCAAGGACACACAGCTAGTGAGTTGGGGAACTGGGATTTGAACCCAGGTAGTCTAGGTCCAGAGTCCACTCCACAGACTAAATTTGGGCTCCAGGAAGTCAGGCAGCCCACCCCCTCAGATCCCAAAGCAATAATGGGGTCAGAGTGGTCTGCTTTGGGGCAGCTCTTCCAACAGCCAGCGTGGAGAGGGACTGAGCCGAGCGTCAGGTCATGTGACTGTCCCCTTGTCTATATTTGACTCCCTGCCACCGTACGTCCCAGTGTTACAACCTCATTTGTGCCCCTCAAGTAATGGGGAGTCGACTCCCTGTCTCTGCCTCCTTTCTTCTCAAAGGTTAATCCAGGAGGGTTGATGCACCTGAGTGGCTATGCCCTGCAGTAGGGCCCTGTCTGCTGACAGCGGGGGCTCACGTTGAAAGTCAGTGGGCCAGAGAAGTATGTGGGTTCAAGCCAACTCCATCATTGCTTGCTGTGTGATGCCAGGAAGACACCGACCCTCTCTGGGCCTCAAATGTAAATATTGAAAAATGGGGAATCTGGCCAGATTCTCAAAGGGATTGAGAGCACCGGTCAGGGTAAGGGTCTGCTTCTAGTAAGTGACATTTGGATTGGGGAGCAGGGGGGAGGCAGCGACAGAGACTGGCAGAAAGGAGAAGGAAAGAAGACTCCAGGAAGAACGTGTTCCTGTCTCCGGATGCGGGTGTTCCGTCTGGTCTGAGGTGGTGGGAAGCATTTTCAAAAGGAGCCAAAATTCTCAGAGAGGATGCAGAGTGAAACCTCTGAACAGAATGATGAGGCTTGAGAAATTGGGACTCCATTATGGGTAGTGAGACATAGGAGACTGACTCTAGCTGGAGACTGGCTCATAGGAGACTGGACCCTTCCCTGCCCAGAAAGGAGATAATGAGTGCCTGTCAGGAACATTCTTTCCTTTAGTTCTGTCTTTAAATAGTCTAGTCATAAGTCACCTCTTCCTGGAAGCCCTCCTTGGTTTTCCCCCAAACTCAGATTCCTCACATGTCCCTAGATTGCCAGACTTGTTTGACCTGTGGCAGATGATTGCATGTTACGATGCCTAAATGCAGTTTGCCACAGGATGAGGATGCCCAACCATATCTGTCAGCATCTGTTTTGGTGGTATGGTGGCTGGCAGTGGTGCCAGCCAAACCACCTGGCATCCATTTAAGAGTGCTAAGCATGCAAGTTCCCTGTCAGGCACTAAGTTCTGACCAGGTAGGGAAAGTTCCAGGCCTCTGGAGAAATCTCGGGCAAATTGTTTAAGCCCTTTAGGCTTCAGGTTGCCTGTCTGTGAAATGGGCCAACAATAGGTTCATCTCACAGGATTGGAATGAGCACTAAGACAGGTGTGGATCAGAGAGTTGGTGCTCAGCTAGTAGAGGCTGGGGTGCGGAGGGGCGGCGTCATAAGTGCCCACCCTATATAAGACTTGGGGTGAGGATAATTGGGCCTCCCCTTCCTAGGTCACATTGAGTATCCCCGCCCAGGTTCCAGCTGCTCAACGCCCTGGAAACTGGCTCCCCCTGGTGATCATGGTGTGACGTGTCATTCCCTCCTGCCTCCTGTAGAGGGCGCCGTGACATCACTCCCTTTCCTTTGCCCGCCCACTGGCCAACCTTGTCCAGAAACCTGGGTGCGCTGCAACCTGTCCACAGCGATGAATCAGGGTTTCTTTGGCTGCCTAAGGAGGGAAGGCCCCACCGTGTCCTGGCCAGTGGTGGAAACCAGAAGACACCCTCTTTAGGGAAGCCTTCCTAAAGCAAGTGTCCTCTGAACTGGGTCTCAGGGATGATGATGTTGAGATTCTTGGGGAATAACTCCAAGAGCCCCCTTTACTACCAGGCTGGTAGGAGCAGGGTAATGGTGGCAGTTCCAGGAGAGGCTATGGAGCTGTCCCCAAAAGATTCTAGCCAAGATCACCCCAGCACTGCTGGGTCCAGAAGGGGCACTCTGATGATGATTAGCCCCATTTTCCATGACTGACACAGGGTCATGCAGCAAGCGGGGGTGCAGCCAGGCTTGAAACTAAATGGGCTCTGGACCACTGCTGCCTTTCTTTTTTTTTTTTTTAAGATTTATTTATTTGTTTATATAAGCACTGGGTGCAGTCAGAAGCGCGGGAGGGTGAGAGAATTCACCAGAGCCAGAGCGGGGAACAGAACAGGCAGACCGATGAAATACACTGCTGAGGGGAGCAGCAGGCACGGCAAGAGAGGTCTGCGCGCCATGTGGGACCCTCACCGGCAGCCGGGAATCGAACTGGCGCTGCAGAGGCTGCGGACAGCTTCGCAGCCCAGCGCTCAACCGCTGCACCACCAGGGGAGGCCCACTGCTGCCTTTTGATGCTCTGTTTCTGGCAGCTCTGGGGAGTCTACACTTGCTTCCCTCACTCACATCCCTTAGTCATGCTCCACTAGTCTCCCCGACTGCTAAGTAGGCAAACCATCCTGAAGGCCAGGCCCCAGCTAACACTCCTGACCTCTTGCAGGCAGTGCCATCCCAGGCTGACTTCAGGAAGGAAGATGGCTTCGCAAGTGCTGTTGCAGATTGCGCTGCTCCTGCTGGATCTGCTCCTCCTGGTTCAAGGTAGGCTTTCTTCAGGATGCCCTGGACTGTTGTGACTTATGTTAAGCGCCACCACCCCCCAATCTAGGACATCCACTAGCCTTCTGGGAGGCATGGGTATATGGACAGTTTAGAAAATGGATTGTACCTTTGAGGGAAAAAAAATCCACTAGTCTTTTGGCAGGAGTGGATCCACAGACTCACCTTTGCAACCATAACATTCTTGTACAGTGCACAGCCTGCACAACTGTCCATGGCAGATATGGCCTCATTAAATACGTTTTTGCTATGAAATTGATTTTGTCTTTGAAATTATTATTAATGTTAGAGTGCTTCTTCTCATATTTTGAAGTCCAGCCCATACTTTTTCAGCAGGACAGACACACATTTTTATACAGGTCCTTGGAATGTTTGTGGGTCCAAGGCACTGGGCTCCTGCGTTCTAGGCCCAGGATATGCCCGTCCCATGCCCCTGTCTAGCCAGTGTTCTCGAAACCCATCCTCACTTTCTACCTCCCCAGGTGCCCATGGTGGGGGCCACCGGGAAGACTTCCACTTCTGCGGCCAGCGGAACCAGACACACAAGAGCAGCCTCCAGTACAAGCAGGTGGAGGAGCTGCACCTCTCCATTTGGAACTCCGAGGAGAATCTCACAATCCACGCTCCCTTCCCTGAGGTCCAGTCAGTCTTCCACTTCCCTGAGCCCAGGGGCATCTACCACTTCTGCCTCTACTGGGACCGCCACGCTGGGAAATTGCACCTTCGCTATGGCAAGAACGACTTCGTACTGAGCAAGCAAGCCTCTGACTTCCTGTGCTTCCGGCACCAGGAGGAGAGACAGGCACGGGGCCCCCCACTGCTCGCCACTTCCGTGAGGTCCTGGTGGAACCCACGGAATACGAGCCTGCCCAGTGCTTCCGGCTACACCTTCTCCTTCCACAGTAAGTCAGCTCCCAGGGACGGAGGCCTGAGGCAGGGGAGGCAACAAGCAAGCCTGGCTTGGAAGTGGACTGGGTGTGAGTGTCAGGCCCCCAGGCAGTGAAGGTGTCTGAGGAGGGGCCGGGATGGTAGGGGAGGGTGAAGCCAAAGTCCCATGCACAGGAGACAGGGAAGTTTCCCTTGAAGGAAGATGGAGTCCAGAGTGGGATGAGAGGCTGGAAAGACAGATGTTGGAAGCCAGAGGAAAAATTCTGCTTCGTCAGTATCATCACAAATGATGAATCTCCATTTCACAGAGGAGGAAACTGAGGCACAGAGAGGCACAAGATTGCACAGCTAGCAAGTGAGGGAGCAGGACTTGAACCCAGCAGCTGATTGGTTGGGAGGATTGGGGAGAGCAAAGAGGGGGTCAGAGGTCACACTCTCAGGTGTGAAGGGCATATGTGCTGCCTAGGACCCTATGTCCTGCCTAGGAAGGAAGGAAGAAAGAAAGGATGGAAGGAAGGAAGGATAAGGCCACTGGTTTCCATGAAGTGCTCAATGGGGGACCGGAGGAGAGGTGCCAGGAGGAGCTGGAGGCTCTACTGAGACTCTAAAAGTTCCTTGATCCTGTTTCCTCCAGGCAGTTCTGCTTTGGGGGACCCCCAGCAATGGTGGACACAGCACCCTGAGCAGTGTGCAGGCCCGTAACAAAGCTGGGAGGATGTGTGTGGCAGGGGCAGGCCTAAGTCCTAGCCTGGGGGTCATCAGGGGCTGGAGCATAGATGGGGCGCCCCACCCCCAGGCTGGGCAGGCCAGATTCCACCCCAGCCTGGGAGCGTTTAGGTCAAGTAGGCTCTGCTATAAATTTGGGTCCTGAGTAACACTTCCGGTCTGGTCTGTAAAGAGTTTTTAAAAACACGAGCCAGAACGTTCACATCACGGAAGCCGGGCTGTCTGCCTTACGAATGTCGCCTGACTACGCAGGGCCTGCCTTGATGCTCAGTGCATGCCTCCTCCCCTGTGTCTCCATCCCCATGTCACTAACTCTTCTGAATCCTTCGGATCCCTGGAGACACCAGCCTGCCATCTCGGAGTGCGGGATACCTGGGTGGGGGCCCTGGAGCCTGGGGTGGTGGGAGGCCCTTGAGCCACTTCACAAGCCTCCCCCTCCCCTCCTGATGGGGGCCGGAAGCAGCCGGCTCCATTCATGCAGCCAGCGGGCGCCTGGCTAGGCGTGTCCCACCCTGGCCGGCAGGCCCCTGGGATTGCTGGGGAGTCCTGAGCGCAGAGGCCCCTCTGGCTGGCCTCATCCACTCTCCACTCGGAGCCTCAGTTTCCTCTTCTGTGAAATGGGAATAGACACCTTCAGTGAGAATGGGGATAGGCTGGGTGTGGCGGGCACCTCGGTCACCAGCCTTCAGTGGGTCTGCCCATCTGTTCCCCCAGCTCCTCCCCAGAATGCCTCCCACACTGCGTCACTTGGCATGTGTGAGCTGAAGAGGGACCTGCTGGTGCTCAGCCAGCTTCTGAAGCATCCCCGGAAGTCCAGAAAGCTCCTTCCCTCCCTTGCTGGCCAGTGAGTGCGGCCCTCAGACTGGGCAGGGTGGGGCTCGGGGCTGGGATGTTCCTTCCACCTCCTTCTGGACTCCAAGCAAAACTGGGTCAGACCCTGGTGACTGGGTCCCTGGAGAACCCCCTAGCCTGTCCGGTCCCTCTCCTTCCCTGCTGCTCCGATGCTTCCTCTCTCCCCATCCCACCCCTGCGTTCACCTGGCAGTTTTTCTCTCTTGCCCCCAGCCCCTTCCCCTCTCCTGGGGCTCTTCCTGTGTATCTCTGAGCCTCCTCGCCCTCCAACCCCGACCCACCTGGGTCTGCCTCCCACCCACTGTCACCACCCTCCCTCTGCCAGGCAGCTGCAGAGCCTGGAGTCAAAGCTGACCTCTGTGAAGTTCACGGGGGACACGGTGTCCTTTGAAGAGGACAAGGTCAATGCCACGGTGTGGAAGCTACAGCCTGAGGCCAGCCTCCAGGACCTGCACATCCACTCCCGGAAGGAGGTCAGGGGCCAGGGGCCAGTATCCAAGCAGCCGGGGTGGGAAGCAGATGCAGAGGCCGGGAGCATGCCCCTCCTCCAGGCCTCCGGGACTCAGATGTGTGCTGACTAGGCAGCCCCAGGCCCCAGGAATACCCGCAGTCAGTGGTCACCCCACAGCATATGGTGGGGCATAGTGGGAGCAGGCCTGCTCCCTGCTCACCTGGCTGTGCCAACCCCCAATGCCTGGGTATGCACCCCAGTCCTGAGACAGCCCCTTGAGTGGGCCTGGTTAGCTGGGAGTCACCCCTGCTGGGATGTTCCATCACACCAGGGTGCTGTAGGCAGACGATGCCTGCCCCTGAGGCCCTGAGGCTTCCCTGCTGGAGCTGGTGCCGAGGAAAAGAGCAGGAAGAGGGGCTGGCATGAGACAATCACAGCTTCCTGAAGGAGGTGGGCTTAGTGGTGGCAGCCACCAGGGTGGATGTGCTGGCATGCGGAAGGTCTGTCTGAGCGCTCAAGGGACTCTGGTTTGCAGGAGGAGCAGAGCGAGATTCTGGAGTACTCGGTGCTGCTGCCCCACACGCTCTTCCAGAGAGCCAAAGGCCGGAGAGGACAAGCCGCAAAGAGACTCCTCCTGGTGGACTTCAGCAGCCAGGCCCTGTTCCAGGTATGGGACCTCATCCTGCCCGCCCACCCCTGGGGAGCAAGAGCCTTTTCTTATAAAGTCAGAAATTGGACAACAACATGCAGATCTCCCTGGGAGAAGTCTCCATGGTGTTCTAACTACAGTGTAAATGACTACCTGTGCAAGAAATATTTCCAGAGGGAGACTCAAGGGTCTTGGAGTGATCTTTTGGGGCCATAGGACTCGAGAGTCTAGGGGACTTCAGAATCTGTCTTCTCAGCCCTGAGCTCCCTCCTTATTCCCGTCCCTCACCCCACATACCTAGGACAAGAGTTCTAGCCAAGTCTTGGGTGAGAAGGTCGTGGGTATCGTTGTTCAAGACACCAAAGTGGCCAACCTCTCGAAGCCGGTGGAGATCACCTTTCAGCACCAGCCACAGCCGGTGAGTGAGTAAACCAAGGATTCAGGGACTCCCCTGGTCTGTTCCTCCTTTCATCCCCCTCTCTTCTGAGTCACCTGTCTTTGACAAAACCATTGGCCAGTCAGGTCCAAACAGGGTGGTATTTGGCACTGACTCGCTGCCATAGCCTGGCCCGGACAGTACTAGGACCCACTCTCCTTTCTTGTCCCTACAGAAGAACATGACTCTCCAATGTGTCTTCTGGGTTGAAGACCTGACAAGTGAGTATGGAAGGGGTTGTATGTCGGGCAGTTATCTGGAGGAGAAAGGGGAACCTGGAGTGGGGAGGGAAATGGGGGTGAATCAGGGAGGGCTTCCTGGAGGAAGGTGAGCTTTGAGGGAATGATGGCAGACCAGGCATTGGCAGACTACAGATCTGCCAGGTGGATCAAAGCCTTGGAAGAGTGAGAAGCCTTGTATTTGGGGGAGGGAGGTATAAAGTGAGGTCCTAGGGGATCTGGGCTTGATCAGAGCCCCGTGCTCTCTCCTCCTCAGTGAATGGCTCTGGGAGCTGGAGCGACGCTGGGTGTGAGACTGTGAGGAAAGAGACACAGACATCCTGCTTCTGCAACCACCTGACCTACTTTGCGGTGCTGATGGTGAGCGCCCCTCCAGCATCCTCTTGCCACCTCCCCGGCCACTCCCACCCCACTGCTACTCCACAGGCCAACCTCTCGCTGTGGGCCATGCGCTCTGCCCAGAGTGTGGCTTTTCTACCCCACAACTCCCTGCCCCTGGGGGCTCCAGTTGTCTCGTTTCATAAGTAAAGAGTTGAGCTCAGAGAAGTTCAGTGATTTACCCAAGATCAAAGAGCTAGTAAGTTAGAGTTCATCTCTAAATTTCTTGCTTTTGGTTCCTAAATTGGGTGTGTGATGAAACTCAGATTCCTGGTCCTAACCTAGGATTCTGACTGCACCAGCTGGGAGGGGGTGGCACAGGAGTATGTTTCGAAGGGGCCCCCAAAGGGATGCTGAGTGTGGGGCCTTGAGGTGGGCTTTAGTGCCCCCAGGAGCTCAGAGGGTTTGTGTGCTGGTTTCACGTTCCCAGATTCTTAGGAGCCAGGACCAGCTCTCCCATGAGTGTGCAGCTATGACTTGAATACCCCTGGGTACAGGGAGCTCACTACCATGCAGGAAACCTATTCCTCTGTTGAATGTTAAGAACAATAATTAGTGCCAGCACATAACAGGGATCCTCTGGTGCAGGGTTCTTGACCTTTGTGAATCAGGGAGCACCCCAGAGAAGGTAGTGATGGGGACACATTCTACTTAGTTTTGGAGGGTGGTTCATGGACTCCTAAGCCACCCCCCGGGGCCAGAGGCTAGTCCCAATGTGGGGCAAAGCCTCATGTGGACTTGGGGACAGATGCCTGATCTGTCTCGTGGCCCAGGTCCCCTCCGTGGAGCTGGACGCAGTGCACAAACACTACCTGACCCTTGTCTCCTACGTGGGCTGCGTGATCTCTGCCCTGGCCTGTGTCCTCACCATCGCCACCTACTTCTGCTCCAGGTAGGACCTGGGAGGGATCATTGGCAGGGAAGGGCCTGGGATGGGACCCCAGAACTGTGGAGACCCACCCCGGAGACTGGCCCTGACATGCTTGCAGGGTTGGGAGAGCCCTGGGGTGCATCTCCTCTTTGGATAACAGCATTTGCAAATTGTATTAACTGCCAGCATTTAAAGTTGACAGAGTTGACATAAGAATCTGCCTCTGAATAATCAGGTGTGACTCCACTGGGGACACATAACCACATGATAGCAGAGAAAACCATGGTTAGCATGTACATAGCGTGCCCCGCATGCTGCTAAGCACTTCACATCCTTGACCTTGCTTTGTCCTCACAAAAGAGGGCTCAGAGTGGGCAAGTGACTTGCCTGTTGTCACACAGCAAGGAGGTGTTGGAGGCCGCCTGGCACCCAGCAGGCTGGCTCCAGGCCCATCAGGCTCCCGTTGCCTGGGGGCTGGGTGGCAGTGACAGGCATACCTCCAGAGTTCTCTCCAGGCCCCCACTCCCTGCTGTCTATTTTGAGGCCTGACCTCTGCAAGCAGTTGGGTTTGATGTCTCCCCTCCACGGATGCTTCTGTGACCCCCAGTTTCTGGGGTGCCTGGGGAAAGAAGGAGCCACCTTTGGTGCAATGAAGAGCACCTCCACCCACCCTCAGATGCTCTGGATTGTCAGGCAGGTGTGGGGGAGCCCTTCTTCCTCGCTCTGTCCACAGGCATGTTAAATGCCCAGCGTGCCCGTGGGTGGTGGGCACACAGCAGATCTGCAGGGACAAGTGGGCAGTGGCCAGACTGCAGCCATAGGAGAAGGATAGGGGTGTGTGTGTGTGTTCATATTCTAGGAAGCCTGCCTGGAAGAGGAGTGTGTACTCCTTGCCCCTGTTCCTACCCAGGGTTGTTCCCGGGAAATTGTGGGTTCTTTGCCTGTCACGTTCCAAGGAAACCAGAAACAGCAAAGGACGGGGATGGAATCTTGAATGTGCACTTTGATTAGACCAGCCAGCTGATCTTCAAGCATCGTGCTCCCAAGGTCCCTCTAACCCCCCGTCTCTCACTGACTGTTTACAACTAGTTAAGCAAAGACAGTTCATTATCAGGGAGGGGCCTTCACTCCAGGCAGCTGACAGCTTCTGGGGGTTTTACGGTGCCCCAGTTCCCCCGCGGCCCCCTCTGCTGGCATCTGGGTTTAGCGCCTTCTCTCTGGGATGGCTCATCCCTGACAGAAGCGGCCCCACCCCTCTCCCTGGCGCCCCTGAACTGGGAAGGTGACTCGGAGCAAGCGGGTCACGGGGCAGACACATGTGTGGGTGCAGGTGCCTCAGCTCTGAGGGTGCCCTTCTCGTTCCTCCCCAGACCCTATGGGTGTGACCTTCTCTCTCCCACCCCCGTGCAGGAGGAAGTCTCGTGATTACACCATCAAGGTGCACATGAACCTGCTGTTCGCCGTCTTCCTGCTGGACGTGAGCTTCCTGCTCAGCGAGCCCGCGGCCCTGTCAGGCTCCCAGGCCGGTTGCCAGGCCAGCGCCATCTTCCTGCACTTCTCCCTGCTCGCCTGCCTCACCTGGATGGGCCTTGAGGGCTACAACCTCTACAGGCTCGTGGTGGAGGTCTTTGGCACCTATGTCCCTGGCTACCTGCTCAAGCTGAGCGCCGTGGGCTGGGGTGAGTCGCGGGAGGGTGATGGTGGCCCCTCAGACGTGCCCCCAGTGGCTCTTGGCGAGTGGTTCCATGTCTCCATCCACTTCTCTGACTGCTCCTCAGTTTCCTTCGCCCACCCTCTCTCAGGTGTTCCTTACCCTGGATGGGTCAAGGTCCCCTTTAGGATGATGAGACGGTGACCTCTGTGCCCAAGAAACACTTCCACACGCTCCACATTGTTCACTCCCTCAAAACATGTCTGTGGGGGGAGGGTGTGAAAAGAGCCACCAGGTGTGGATGAGCAGGTTGCGCGCTGCTCAAAGGTACCATGTCCCTCGGTTAACCTTTGTGCTTGGCCAGTGACGGCCCCATTCACCTGTGGCCCAGGCCTCTCTCACATCAGACCTGGAGGCCCAGGGGCTCACAAAACACGTCCTTTTGGACACTCAGTCACCAGCCTCCCCATGTCCCTCACCCCAGCTCCCTGCTTTTCTCTGTTCCTCGTTCAGCCTTTTTTTGGGTCACTCTGTTGATTTACATGAAATTCCTCAGAGTTGACTCTGTCAACTCCCAGGCATTTGGTGGTGGGTGACTCTCTCTGGGGAGCTCTTACTCTCTACCTCATGAGTGAGGTCAAGGCCCAGGACACATGACCCTTGGGGGCAGAACTCTGAACATCCCCCTTGAATAGTCCTTGCACCCCACTTATGTCCTGTCAGCTCCTCCCATCCCTCCTGTGACAAGAGCCCTTCAGCAGGGAACTGCAGGCCCTTTCTCTAAAAGGCCCGCGCAGAGCGAGTCTCCCTCTTCGAATCCCAAACTGGAACGGGGGAGGGGCTGGAGCTTGGAGGACCTCCTCCACCCAGGGCTGGATCAACTCTGGGGACCCAGGCCTAACAGGAGGTCTGGCCAGAGAGCGGGGGCAGGCAGGCTCCATGCTTGGGTGGAGCTTAGCTCCATGCCTGACTGCCCACAGGCTTCCCCATCTTCCTGGTGATATTGGTGGTGCTGGTGGACGTGAACACCTATGGCCCCATCATCCTGGCTGTGCACAGGACTCCGGAGACTGTCACCTACCCTTCCATGTGAGTCTGGGGGCCGGCTGTGGGGGTCTGGGGTGCTGGGGCTGGAGAGCAGCCTGGGCCCAGTGTCACTGCCCAGGAGTTGCTTGAGTCCCGGGCTGCTGGGAGTGTTGGCCTGGGGGTTTGGCCTGGGGGTGTTGGCCTGGGGGTGTTAGCCTGGGAGTGTTGGTCTCAGGGTGTTGGTCTGGAGGTTTTGGCCTGGGGACGGCCAGCGCCCTGGGAGGGTGAGAACAGCCTTCTCTGTCTCCCACTCACCAGGCCTCTTTGCACAGGTCCTGACCCCTGGCTGGGCCTCAGTTTCCTCACTGGTGAGGGCAGGTTGGAGCAGATGAGCACCCCCCTACCCCCTGCCCCTGTGTCCCTTGGCTGCTGTCTCTGTTCACACGGAGCCCAGAGAGGGTGATTAGACCACACAGCTCAGAGGCATCCAGCAGGGGTGGATGACAAAGCCAGGACTGTGTGTCCCCCCCAAACCTAGACTAGAGCCCAAGATTCCCCAGGCCCCCCAGGCTCGGAAGGAATTCTTTCATTGCCTCAGTGTTTTAAAATTTTCAGTCTTTTTACATCTTGACCTTATGAGTTTTGTGTGATGTCTGGACCATCTATATTATTATCGATCTCATGTTTTTTCTTTAAATGATCTAACTTAATACATTTTAAAACGTGTTAACTAAAATTTTTAAATGATGTCAATAGGGTAGGTAGGGAACAAGCATCACATAAACAGTGAGTGTACCAGGAAAGTAAAAACAGGGACAAGAAAACCCTGTCCTCGGGCCTCCCCTGTGGCGCAGCAGGTTGAGCGCTGCGCTGTGAAACTGTCCGTAGACTCTGCAGCGCGGGTTCAATTCCCGGCCGGCCAGGGAGATTCCCACATGGCCTAACAAACCTCTCCTGTCACTCCAGCTGCTCCCCTCAGCAGTGTCTTCGGTCCTTCTGCCTGAAGGACCCCCTCTCTGGTGAATTCGCTCATCTTCCCGCACCTCTGACCTGTATCCCTGTTCTTGTATAATAAATAAATCTTTTAAAAAAAAGAAAAGAAAAGAAACCCTATCCTCAATACTAGCTGGTGGGCTGAGCCTTGGACTGTTCTTTGAAGAACAGAGATTAGGAAGTTTCAGGGTGTTGAAAACATACTTGCACCAAAACGAGCCTCTCCCTTGACCACAGAGAAGGAATGAAGGAGAACTGAAAAGTGACTTTTCACCCAGTGAGTCCATGGTGTCTAAAGTTGCCTTGGAACTGGGGTTCACGCTGGTGCACACCCATACCCTGGCCATGCTGTGGGCTGATCCCAGTCTTGCCCGCAGGTGCTGGATCCGGGACTCCTTGATCAGCCATGTCATCAACCTTGGCCTCTTCAGCCTGGTGTTTCTGTTCAACATGGCCATGCTGGGCACCATGGTGGTGCAGATCCTGCGGCTGCGCCCACATGGCCAGAAGTGGCCCCACGTGCTCACGCTGCTGGGCCTCAGCCTGGTCCTCGGCCTGCCCTGGGCCTTGGTCTTCTTCTCCTTTGGTTCTGGCACCTTCCAGCTTGTGGTCCTCTACTTCTTCAGCATCATCACCTCCTTCCAAGGTAGGCATGGAGAAGACTCTGCCCCCCGGCCGCCACACGTGGGTGTCCAGACTTGAGAACACAGGGCAGGAATGAAATGGCCCAGACAACCTGAAGGCTGTCCTTCTCTGGGCCTCAGACTTGCTATCCATAAAGTGGAGGCATCCAGACCACAGTCACCAAGGCTTTATTGAGTACCTACTGCATGCAGGCCCTATGCCAAGCCCTAGGGCTACCGGTGTGAATAGGAGTCATGAAAGAGAGAAGTACAGGGGCTGGATCATGAGGGCCTGAACTTGATGCCAACAGAGTCCCTTTGTGGTCTATTTGCCCTTCACCTCTGCCTCCCACATCTCTCTCTCACACACACACACACACACACACACACTCTGCTCTGTTCTTGGCTGTGCTGGGTTGGGAGAAGGACTTGGACAGGACAACAGGAATGGTGAGGCCAGACCCAGGGCCACACCAGGGCTGCCAGGGATGGGGTGAGGGAGGTGAGTGTTTTCTCTTCTCCGTGAAATGAAGGGGACTTTGTAAGTTCCCCTACAAATGATGCCCATGAAGTCACACGAACATTTACTGAGCTATTAAGAAGTAGTGTTAGTATTTGGGGAGGGAACTAGACAGGAGGGCCCTGGAGCCAGGCCAGCACCAGACTCCTGGCTTGACCGACTCCCCTCACCTCCCTGGGCCCAGTTTCCTTCTTTGCAAAGCAGAATAATAGGCCTGACCTCCTAGGAACCTTGGGAGAATACAAGTGAGCTGACGAGCAATGGATTGCACGGTGCCTGGACATAGCGGCCCCTCTGGGGTCCCATTGACCTGGGTGGCCTTATTGGGGGGGCCAGATCTGAGTCAGTGTGACTCTGGGAGGGAGGGGTCCTATGGGGGCTACCCCCAGTCTGCTGAGCCCTGTGCCCTGCACTACCCTCAGGTTTCCTCATCTTCCTCTGGTACTGGTCCATGCGTCTGCAGGCCCGGGGCGGCCCCTCTCCTCTGAAGAGCCACTCGGACAGCGCCCGGCTCCCCATCAGCTCCGGCAGCACCTCGTCCAATCGCATCTAGGCTGCCAGCCACCGCCTGGTGTGAGGAGACAGAGATGTGACCTCTTCTCACCACTGCCTGTGGGCCCCAGAGTGGGCCCTGGCCCTGGCCCTTCAACCAAAAACTTGAGGAGGTGCAGGGGCATCAGAGGGATGGGTTGTTGGGAATGGAGTTGTTGCCATGGTGACCAGACTCCCAGGTTTCCGTGTTGGCCTCTCCAGTGGATAACTTAGATGGATATCCGGTGGCTGAAGTCGGGGTTTAACATACGCCTTACTGGGCCCTGATGGCTGGGGGTGGGATGACCCCAAGGGTCTGGCCTGGACCTGAATTCAGGGCCTTTGGCCTTTGTCAGACCCTTCTCCCTTTTCCTTCCCGTGTCTATTCTCCCTAGTCCTCTGCTCTTAGCCAGGACCCCCCAATTCCAATACTGGGTTTTGGGTGGTGATTCTCGAGTCACCTGGTGTCAGCCATAAACCTTTATCTATGTATGGCCTTTGCTGTCCCTGACTCAGGCCACCCGGGCTGGGCCAGGTCCATCTGTTCACCTGGGCTTCTTTGTAAGATGCGTCAGCCTTGCTCACCACTGCCAAGCCCACATCTCACAGGGATCCTCAGCCTCCCTGAGCCCCCTTGTGGCAAGAACTGTGATGTGGAGCATTCTTGATTCCATCCCAACACACGTAAGACTGAGACACGCTTCCCCTGGTGACCTCCATCTTAAGCCCTACGTGCTCATTAGGGGTCAACCTGGATCCCTAGTCTGGCTTCCTACACACTCAAGCCCATCACAGCTAGATCTGTACAAAACAGATCTTTTGGGGCTACAGACTGGGTTGCTCAATTGTAAGCTCTCAGTCTAGTGTCGGAGGCACGTATGAGACAAGAACTCCCGGAGCTACAGACGAGGGGTTGGCGGAAGCATCAATCCAGGCGGGAAATCCATGAAGACGTCTCGCAGGTGGCAGCATTTGACCTGGATCTGAGTCTTAAAGATGGAGTGGATTTTCTTTCTTTTTTGAGAACTTTTTTTAATTACCCGTTCATTCATCCTTTGATATGAAAGAGAAATACATGTTCGTCGTTGAGTTTTTGGAAACTGTAGAAGAAATTATGGAAGAAAATAAAATCAGCTGTTGTTCTCACCTAACAAACTGATGTAAACATTTTGGAGCATTTTCTGAGCTCTTTTTCTGTGCTTCTGTTTAGCGGCACTAATACTATCACCTGGGGCCAATCAGGAAAATAATGAACTTCTGGAAACTATCAACTTGGGCGGGGGGAGGAGACATGGCCGCTCAGTGTTAGGGAGACAATAGGGCGTGGTGATGTTACAGGGGAGGGAGAGGGGGCATCCCAGACCCCACAAACCTGCCTGCTCTAAATAGGTTCTGGCACTTCCCTAAATCACATTGGACACCAAATCTGTTACAGGGCAGGGAGCGGGGCACCCCAAACCCCTCAAGCCTGCCTGCTCTAAATAGGCAGATGTTCTGCCATCTGTCTCATCAACACGAAGCATATGAGACTTTAATGAAAAGGAACTTTAATACAATTAGGAAACAATACAGGAAAGGCAAAGAATATACTTCCTAAATCAAGCACCCAAAGTTACCTGTCCCCTCGTGGGTAAAAGTCCACCCAAACAGGATTGGCCCAGAGCAAGGCCCGAAAGCCTGTCACAAGTCTAAATCACCTTCCAGTGGGGACCCACAGAAAAGGATCAGAAACACCAGACAAGTCTGGAAGGAAAAGAGCAAAATCAAGATAAAAGCTGCCATTGTCACCTCCCACGGGTCTCACCCACATCTGCTTCAAACAGTCCCCGACCAAAAGGCAAGCGCAGTTTCTTCTGGTGTCTCTCTGCTCCACATGCCTCCTCCAGGTCTCCTGGCTCCCCATCCTGCGTCCTTCCTTCCTCAGTCTCCTCTGCTGCTTCTCTTCTGTTTAGCTCCAGCCTCCTTTGGGTGGGACAGGGAAGCTGGAACTTCCTTTTCCTGGGGACCACCCTGTTATAGTGGGGCTGTGGCGTCTGTGGCGAGCTGGAGAGGAAAGCAGCTACTTCCCAGCTCCAGCTGGTCTCTGCCTTGCAGAATGAGGGTCCAGTAGCGAGATAGGGTCCAGAGTCTTCTTGCCTTTAATAAGCAAGAAGAAATTCAGAGTGTCCCCTGATGGAGCAATTTCGGTGAATGCCAAACATTCACTGCCCAAAGACGTCACATTTGAGGACCAAGTTCAGGCCTTGCCAGGTACGTGACATGTGTAACCAGTTTACTGATTAGTGTGAAGTGGCTGCGGTGGAGGCTAAGAGTAGAAAATTTGGGATGGGGGCATCACAGGGCCAGAAACGGAAGGTGAGGGTAAACATGATTTATGTAGTTGGTGAAACCAGCCGTAGAGACGAAAATCGCACCTCTGTAGCAAGGAAAAAATCCAGAGATGGAGATGGGGGGGCCTTTGTAGAGAATCACTTGTCCTTTCAAATCCACCCAGTCACACCCTGGAAGTAATTTCACAAAAGATAACAATTCCACAAAGGAATGAGCCCCTCCCCCAAGCAAGGACACTCAGCAGAGTTTCTGCTGGACTGGAGGCAGCTCTCCCACCCGCTGGCTATTCAGGTGTTTCTTTTCACCAGCCCGTTCCCTTTGCAAAGCAGGGGCCCCTCTTGTGACCACCTGTGACTATGCAGGTGTTTCTTTTTCTTTCTCCTTTTCCTAATAAACCCTTTTCAAATGTAACCTGCCTGTGTCTGTGCAAACGTCTTCATCTCCTGGGTCGTCTCGCTGTGTGCTGCTGAAAAGGGAACTCTGCCGAAAGTTTCTCTCAGAGGACCCCCAAGAATCCAGCTCACTGAACCCCACACCTCTTCAAAAAAAGGTCAGGTAGGCTGTTTGATTGCCTGCAATGTCAGGCCAACCAATCTCCCCTCCCCCACCGGGACTCAGGGGGGCAGATCTACTAGGTTTCTGTCCCCCTTCAGTTATGAGCATTGCTGTCTGTGCCCAGGTCTAAAAGTATGGGGGGTCCCCCCAGAGCCGCCTGGAGCTGCCTACCTGATGCCTGGTGGGCTGGGGAAAGGGGCAGCGAGCCCCAAAGCTGGCAGGATGGACAGGAAGCCACCGTGGCAGCCAGGGATTGGCTGGCAGGGACCTCAGCACATGGGGAGCCACTGTACCCTGCCTTTCTCCCACCATTCCGCCCTCCATGCTCCTTCCCTTGGCTCCTGCCTCCACCTTTCTCCAGTCCTGAGAACAGAGAACAAACCTCAAGATGCCGCCCCCCACCTCACATCCCCATTGTCCAGCTAGAGGGAGCAGAGCTGGCCCCCTTCCTCATGGACCCCTCAGTCTCAGAGAGGGTGGAGCCCATCAGTGGGCTGGCCCGGGGGGCTACCTCCCCCTCTCCATCTTCAGGGAGGGAAGGAAAGGATCTTCTCCCAGGCAGAGCGCACTCCCCCACACAAACTCTCCCACTTTAAGGACAGCTCCTGAAATCTCCTCTGTTTTCCAGGCTGGCTCAGCTTGGTGGGGGGTGGGGGGGCTCTTAGGTTGGGCCCCATCTTCTCTATCAGCCCTGGCCAAGGTGTCCTTGACCCTGATATCCCTCGTGATGGCGCTGGCTGTGGGGCTTTGGGCCCACTGTGTGAATCTGTTACAGGGCAGGGAGGGGGCAGCCCAGACCCCGCAAACTTGTCTGCTCTAACTAGGCTCTGCCATCCGCCGCATCAACACAAAACATATGAGACTTTAATGGGAAGGAGCTTTAATACAATTAGGAAACAACACAGGAAAGGCAAAGAGTCTAGTTTCTAAATCAAGTACCCAAAGGTACCCGTCCCCTTGTGGGTAAAAATCCATCCAAGCAGGATTGGCCCAGAGCCAGGCCCCAAAGCCTGCCCCAAGTCAGCGAGGACCCACGGAAAAGGATCAGAAACAACCAGACAAGTCTGGAGGGAAATGAGCAAAATCAAAATCAAGACAAAACCCACCATTGTCACCTCCCCACAGGTCTCACCCACATCTGTGTCACCCCGTCCACGACCAAAAGACAAGCGCAGTTTCTTCACGTGTCTCTTGGCTCCATGCGCCTCCTCCAGGTCTCCTTCTGGCTCCATCCTGCTTCCTTCCTTCCTCAGTCTCCTCTGCAGCCTCTTCTCTCCCTGCTCAGCTCCACCTCCCTTGGGGGGGGGGCAGGGAACCTGGAACCTCCCCCTTTCCTGGGGACCACCCTGTTACAGAGCCACTGTTGCCAGCAGGACCTGACTATGTCAGCATCTGGAGACAGCCCCGGGCAAGGGAGATGGACAGGCCGAGGGGGACCTTGCTCCTGGAGCCTGGAGCCCACCTGGAGCCCTTAGGACAAGCCTGAGGGAAGTGGCAGAAGGGCAGTTTGGTTTGCCCAGGGATTTGGAGGTCCCAGGGCTCTGTGAGTGGCCCAGGCTAGTTTCCAGCCCCTGAGCGGCTCAGCGGCGGAGCGGGGGGGAGGGGGGGCTCACCCTGACACTACCCAGGCCCCTCCTCCTTGCCACTCTCCCAGCACCCACCCAGCACTCCCCGGGCGTGCTGGGTGCTCCAGGATGCAGATCTCCAGGCCCTTCTTCACTGACAGCCACCCAAGAGCCCCTCTGAGGGCACTAGGATGGGGGTTCAGTGGGGGGTCCTAGCCAGCCTAGTTCACAGAGCCCTTGTCCGCCACCTCCTCTCACCCTGGCCGGCAGCTGGGAGGGGAATGTCGATTGGGAGAGGCTGCAGAAGGGGGAGGGTCAGGCCATGTAGTTCCCATCTGTCCCCCCACCTTTCCCACAGAGGATGTGCCTGGGCTCCATTCCCATCTGCCGCTCACACCCCACAAGTGACCCAACATCCCCTCCACAGCCGTCCCCAGGCCCAGAGGGCCCAGCAGGGCACTGAGGCTGTGCCCTGTGTGTCTGGACTGTGTGAAAGGAAGAGCAAATGGGGGCCAGACAGGGCGAGTCCGGCCTGCAGGCCTGAGAGGGTGCTGGTGAGGACGCGCCCTCTTGGCGGGGTGCCCCTCACCTTCTGATCTCGCGGTGGCTGTGGGACCACCGCAAGGCCTGGGCCTATCCACGTGGCTTCCTTGGCGCCACCAGGGCTGGGGCCTGAGCGGTCAGTCCCACTCCTTCCCTCATGCCGCGCCCCATGTCTGCCTGCTGCTCCCACTTCCCGCCTAGACCACCTGTGACCTGCTGGGTGACAATGGCAGAACTTTCTCAGCATTGTAAAACGACGGCCATAGCAACGGCCAAACTAGCTGACCGAGCGGTTTGTCTTCCCCACGGGCCTGGTGGGAGACTAGGAGCTGCATTCACGCTGAGTTCACCCAACCAGGAATTAGCCAGGAGCAATGTCAGCCCTGGCCTCACCACCCCCAGGGCCCACGGTGTCCTCCCTGGCCCTCCCGCCATCACGCCTCTCCCATTGCCCATTCCCCGGCCTGGTGGGGAAGAGCTGGGCTTGCAGTGGGGTTCTTGGCTCCCCGCAGCCTCCAGCAATCATGGGCTTGAGCCCTTCCTGTTCAAGACCAAGTACCGGGATCCTTCCTTCCAGTCTGTGACCAGAGCATGTCCCTGACTTTCTCTGGGCCTCAGTTTCCCCATCTGTAGATGGAATGGCACGGCACTAATCCTTGGGCCCACTTGGTGAGTTTTATTTTATTTTTCAAAAAGATTTATTTATGCATACAAGAGCTGGGGTGCAGGCCAGAGATGGAGGGAGTGAGAGGATTCACCAGAGACAGAGTGGGGAACAGAACAGGCAGACTGACTGACGTACACTGCTGAGGGGAGCAGCGGGCGAGACAGGAGAGGTCTGCTGCGCCCTGTGTGTCACCTCCCTGGTGGGGGATCGAACTTGTGCTGTAGTAGCTGCAGACAGCTTCATAGTGCTGCATCTTAACCCCTTGTGCCACCAGGGAGGCCCCCCACTTGGTGATTTTTAATATTGGTATCTGTCAGCACTTGGAACTCCGAAGCATGCACGAGGGAGTGTGAGTTCTGTGTGCATCTTCATCCTTTCCCTAGAGGCGGCTGTGGTCCAGGTGTGACGTCTTGGCCCCAACATGGCTCCACTTTATAAAGGAGGGCTACAAGGCCTAGGGGGTTCCCCGCTTCTGACCTAGGTGCCCTGATGCCATGGCTGGGGCTCATTACCCTACCAAGGGGTGTCTGCTAGTTGTAGAGGCCCCTGCGGCGGCAGGACCCCAGCACCTCAATGCCCACCCAGTCAGGGCTCTGGGAGCAGAGGCCCTTGGTGGTTCTGGCAGCTCCTGTAGAGTCTGGCCCTTGTGTGGCCCCAACAGAGGATTGTGGGGAGATGACACAATCCAAATGATGACACTTGGAGAGACCGCAGGAAGCTGTGATGTGGCCGAGGGCAGTGGGTGGTGTGCACTGGGTGGGAGCAGGTCAAGTAGGCAGAGCCTAACAGGAACGTGCACTGCAGAGCTCCAGCCAGGAACGCGAACCGCAGAGCTCCAGCGAGGCTGCCGTGGATGGCGATACCCGCCGCCCCCGGGGTCCTGCTCCTGCTGCCCCTCCTGCTCCCAGGTGAGCACTGGCTCCTCAGCCCTTCTGCCAAGCCTGGGAGATCCCGGGGTGGGGACTGGGAAGAGATAGGGAGCGGAGGTGCCTGGAACCAGTCCTCCGGGGAGCCCACCCTGACTACCTCAGCACCATCCCTAACCTCGTCTCCTCCTTGCCAGTCCTGTGTCCTGATAAACGTTAGCCAAGTCTGGGTCTCATCTCCCCTTTGCATCCCCTGAGTGCCCTGGAGATGGGGGGGGGGTGGTTAATGGAAAGTGTCTCCCCCCCACCCTGGGTGGCTGTTCCTTGATAGGCCTGGCTGGGGCTGGACCCTGGCCCAGCCTTCTCCAGCTGGCCTCTGAGCTCCCGGGGAAGCAGCTGGGCCCTCCACAGGCTGAGGCCAGGGAATGCTTGCACTGTATCCCCGCCTGCTCCCCCTAGTCTGGTCCCCACACCTCCCAACTCTCCTCTCTTCCTGTCCCAGCAATAACCCCTCATCGCTGGAGGCAGGACCAAACTCTTCCTGCCCCTGCCCTCCCAGCCTTATACCAGCAGTGGGGGTATGAGAACCCCAGAACTGGCCCTGCTGTCACCTCCTCCAAGAAAGCCACCCCCAACCGTGGCCCACCTGCCCACCTCATTCCCACTTTTGTCTGTGCTGGGTCATCTGTAGTGATCCCTTCAGGCAGGGGGGTGCTCTCTGCTCTGTGCTCCCATTTTGGTGTCTTGTGCTCCTGCTGCCTTGCTCCATTCAGTGAGCAGCCTCCTGGTGTCTGTGCAGCACGGGGGTCCTGTGGCTTTGAGCACACGGATGGATCAGTTCTTTGGGCTCTAGAGAACCCTCTTCAAATGTTGGGAGACTCAGTGATATGCAAAGTTCAATCGTGGCTGAAAATGGCCAAGCGGTCCCCACAGTGGCCTGGGAGCGCCTAGGGCAGAGCAGGCCATTGGGGAACACTCGATGGATTAATTACCTTAATGAGCAAAGGGACTGTCATCGGTGGGCAGCATAAGGACACTGGGACCATCATAAAACTGAAATTCTCTGGTTGGGCCTTCAAGGCTCCTCTGAGGGATAGAGTTGACCCAGTGTTGATGTGGGGTCTCCGGGTCACACAAAGCCTCGGCCACAGGAATGGTGTGGGGAGCCTTCCTTTGGGGATGTTTATGGGTTAATGGTCACACATCCTCTTGTTCATTCGTTCATTCTAGAACTAGGGGTAGTGCCCTGACCTGTACATAGTCCTTACCCTTTAGGGGCTGACGGGGAGCAGTCAGGGGCCTTCAAAGGAGTCAGGGTGTGGTGGGGGACCCAGCGTGGGGCCTGGGAGGTCAGGGTCTAGCAGGAAGCAGACACACTCCTTTATAAAGGACACTTTGCAAGGTGGGGTGGGGGCAGGGGAGCCAAGAAGGGAGGTCACATGTTGGGGCAGCACCAGGGCAAAAGGGTGGTGTGTGTGGAGACCAATAACCACCTCGCCCTCCTCCTGCCTTCTGCCCTCCAGCCTGTCCCCCTTTGACTCTGGGCGCAGAGCAGGGCAGGCTGTGGGGGGCAGAGAGGCACCTTCCCTCCTCATGTCCAGGCCTGCGTCAGCCTCGCAGGCTTGGTTAGAAGCTGCCGATGTCTTCAAAATAGAGTCAGAAAGGAGCTATTTCATAGTCTCCTCTGCCCTCAGCTCTTGCCAAGAGCCTCGTGCACGACTGGCCTGAAATTCCACAGCCAGGAGGGGTTTCTGTTAACACCCACTGCAAGACCCTGCACCCAGCACCCTGGGGACCTCCCAGGCACACAAAAACCCTGGGAGTAGGTAGAGAATGGCTCCCCCCTGCTTTCTCTCTCCCCTCTCCTCTCCTTTTCTCTCTTCTTCCTTTGTTTAAAAAAGCGAACATGGCTTACATTACTGCATGCTCACCCACTTTGTTTTTACCCCTCAAGCGACACTTACAATCTAACAGAAAATCAAAGCTCTTTTATAGGCTGCTTAAAACATTTTTAGACAATATTTGCTTCCCCCCACCCCCTCAGATTGCGTCCCCATAGAATTTCCTTCACCAACGCACCTGTGCACTGTCCCCACAGTCCCCTGTGCTCCTCCCTCCCTCTCTCACTCCTCTCCCTCCTCCTCCCCGGCAGGATGTCACTGGTTTGTAATTGTCTGTTTTTGCTTTTTGTGGTTTGTACTGTTATTATTTTTTTTTACACTGATGTCTTATTTGGTTCCCCTATATTCCTGCTGTAAGTGAGACCATCCGCTATTTTTCTTTTTCCTTCTGGCTTATTTCACTGAGCATAATTCCTTCCAGCTCCATCCACGTTGCTGCGAATGACATGAGTTTATCTTTTTTGAATGCTGAGTAATATTCCATGGTATATATGTACCACATCTTCTTGATCCAGTCATCTATTTTTGGGCATTTGGGTTGTTTCCAAAGCTTAGCTATTGTAAACAGTGCTGCTATAAACATAGGGGTGCAGATGAATCACTGTTTTTGTGTCCTTTGGGTAGATCCCTAGGAGTAGAATTGCTGGATCGTGTGGTAGCTCCATTTTTAGTAGACTGAGGAATCTCCAGACAGCTTTCCACAATGGTTGGATCAACCAGTTTGCACTCCCACCAGCAATGCAGGAGAGTTCCTTTTTCACCACATCCTCGCCAACATTTGTTGTTGCTTGTTTTTTTGATATGTGCCATTCTCACTGGTGTACGGTGGAATCTCAGTGTGGTTTTGATTTGCATTTCCCTGATGATAAGGGATGTTGAACATTTTTTCATACGCCTGTTGGCCATTTGCATTTCCTCTTTGGTGAAATGTCTTTTGAGTTCTTCTGCCCATTTCTTGACAGGATTGTTTATTTTTGTTTTTGCTGAGCCCTGTGAGTTCTTTGTATATAATGATAGGGATATATATTTTAACTGACATCTACTCTAACTTTGCTCTGTTGTGATCATCACCTCATTGTTTTTTGTTTTTTTTTTTTAAGATTTATTTATGCGTACAAGAGCTGGGGTACAGGCCAGTGGTGCAGAGTGTGAGGGGATTCACCAGAGACAGATTGGGGAACAGAACAGGCAGACTGACCAAAGTACACTGCTGAGGGGAGCAGCGGGCAAGTCAGGAGAGGTCTGCTGCACCATGTGGGTAGCTCCCTGGCCAACTGGGGATTGAACTCATGCTGCAGTGGCTGCAGACAGCTTCATAGGTTGTGTCTTAACCCCTTGTGCCACCAGGGAGGCCCTGCCTAGCAATTTTTAAAAGTATGTTCTTTTGACCCAGAAATCCATATGATGGGAATGTTTTTTTATGAATTCTTAGCAAAAGTGAAGAAAGATGTTCACAGCTTTGTTCAAAACAAACAAAACCCAAACAAAAATCACCCCTCATGGCCACTGAGAGACCACCCCTTGAGAAAGTGTTGCAAACCCATGTAACAGAACAGGATGCAGGCACATAAGAGGGAGATGAGGGCATCTCCTGGTGGTGCAGGGGATTGAGTGCAGCGCTGTGAAGCTGTCCATAGCCTCTGCAGCACCGGTTTGATCCTGGGTCCCACATGGCACGGCAGACCTCTCCTGTCTCACCCGCTGCTCCCCTCAGCAGTGTATTTCAGTCAGTCTGCCTGTTCTGTTCCCCACTCTGTCTCTGCTGAATCTTCTCACCCTCCATGCATCTGGCCTGTACCCCGGTTCTTGTATGCATAAATAAATCTTTAAAAAAAAAACTCAAAATTAAAAAAAAAAAAAGAGGCAGATGAGGCCCCAAGCTGGTGAGGGAAACTGTCTAAGATCTATTGCTACATGAGCCCATTCATGTAAGTTTTAAGACGGCTTACGTAAATGTACTTGCATATGCAGAGAACTTTCCGGGAAGTTTGTATAATAAACAGTTATAGGTAGGGGAGTCTGGAGGTGACCTTCAAGCCACAGGAAGAGGTCTTTACTTTGCGTGTTAGTTCCTTGCGTACAGTTTAATTTTTTTTTTTTAAATTTTGCGTGTTTTACTGTTGTTGTGCTAGATAAAGACGGAGACACATGGACATATAATGCAAATATATAAATAGTCTTGCAATGAAATGCCTACTTCCTGGGAATAGATAACACTTTGAAGATCTAAGTGAGCTCTGTCCTTTATGCATATGGTCTCTAATGCTCCCCAAAACTCACAAGAGGCTTGTGAGCCTCATTTGGCTGAATAGAATATTGAATAGAAGGGAGTTTAAAGAACTTGGCCTAAGGTCACAGCTAGTCAGTGACCCAATGTGAATGGAAAACAAACTAGAAGTCATTAAAGCTCGTACCTGGTTCTGGAGCTGCCTCCAACTACCCAGTCACCTTGCACTAGTCACTGTGCTCCCAGAGACCTCAGTTTGCTGTATTCTCTACTCACCCTAGGAGGTAGCCCTGACGACTATAATGGGAATGTGGGAGAACAAGGTACCCCAAGACAGAATAAAACCAAGACAGAATACATTCAAGAATTATACCATAAGGTTATAGTTGCAAGGACTTGGGGAAATCTGCTATGGAACAACTGTGAAAAGCCAGGCAGACTCCCTGGAGGAAGTGGTAAAGGGCAATAGCACTAGCATATGAAACCTTTTATCTACAGAGCCATGTGCTAAGACCTTTTTATATATCTGCTCCAAAGCATCTCACTGGCTATGAGACTGTGGCTAGGAGTAGGGGTAGAGGGGGTAGGAGGTGAGAGAGTTGAGGGACTAGTATCTCCTTTCACTTTGGAAACCCAGACCCAGGGAGGGTATGAGTCCAGCTGAAGTGCCCACAGTTAGGCATAGCACCAGTCTCTGGAGCCCAACCTCTTTCTTCCCTTCCCTTGGCCCTTGCTGCCTATACCCCCGCCCCCACACTCAGTTATTCGACCTGCCTCCTCCCTTAGGTATGAGAAATTTCGCAAACATGGTAGAGCTGCCAAGGAATGTTTGCAAGGGACTGGCCAATATGAACCAATATAGTGACTTCGCCCTTAAGAACACTGCTGAGTGCTTCGAAAAGTGCAACCAGGAGGGGAACGAGTCCTGTCATCTGGGAAACCTGCAGAGGTAAGCGGGGCCCCCTGAGATGGAGCAGAAATCTGGGTCTTCTGGGAGGGTTGGGGAAATGCTCTTACAAGGGGATGGAGCTACCAGCCCCCATGGCCCCAGAAAATGCTGCTCCCACCCCACCCTTCTACCTTGTTGTTTGATACCCACATTTCCCCTGAACACAGAGACCTCTCTGATCCTGGGGCTAGAGAGATGAATCAGTCCCTATTCCTACCACTGGGAGTTCAGGAGGGACAGGCACAGACCCAAATGGTGATGCCTCTAGCGTGTGATCATAGAAAAAAGTGGACGAGGTGCCAGGGTTGCTTAAAAGAGGGAAGTCTCCCAAGATTTCACAGAAGTGGTGGCCAATGAATGGGTTTTGAAAGCTCTATAGAAGTTTTCCAGATGGGCCCACACAATGTCAGGGAAGCACAATGTTGGGGACTATTGGGGGAACTGCATGCAATGCTGTGAATTGTGAAAGTGAAGTGCCAGGGAGGGAGGCAGCAATGGTGAGGGGGGTGGGGGGGGAAATTTAAATTAAATCTCACTGCTGCAACCAAATCTGCTAAATTTTTTTTAAAAAAATATTTATTTATTTATGCATACAAGAACTGGGGTACAGGCCAGAGGTGCGAGCAGTGAGAGGATTCACCAGAGACAGGCGGGGAACAGAACAGGCAGACTGACTGAAATACACTGCTGAGGGGAGCAGCGGGTGAGACAGGAGAGGTCTAATGCATGTGGGTAGCTTCCTGGCTGGGGGTCGAACTTGTGCTGCAGTGGCTGCGGAGAGCTTCAGAGTGCTGAGACTTAACTCTTTGTGCCACCAGGGAGGCCCTTGCTAACATTTTTTTAAAAAAGTTTAGAGTCTAGGCCATACCACCCTGAACATGCCCATCTTGTCTGATCTCAGGAGCTAAGCGGGGTCAGGCTTGGTGAGTGCTTGGATGGGAGACAGCTTAGGAACACTGGTGCTGTAGGCTTTTTGAAAATGTTGCGACCTAATTAGCTTTACTAAGTGATTCATGAATGGGGCAGAATCCTCCCAGAGATCCTCCCAGAGTTGTACAAATTAGAGAATTTTTATAGTTGTGTTACAGGGCAGGGAGAGGGGCAGCCCACACCCCACAAACCTGCCTACTCTAAATGGGTTCTGCCATTGCTGCATCAACACCAAACATATGAGACTTTAAATGGGAAGGAACTTTAACACAATTGGGAAACAATCCAGGAAAGGCAAAGAATCTAGTTTCTAAATGAAGCACCCAAAGTTACCCATCCCCTCGTGGGTAAAAGTCCATCCAAATGGGATTGGCCCAGAGCAAGGCCCCAAGGCCTGCCACAAGTCTAAAGCATCTTCCAGTGGGGACCCACAGAAAAGGATCAAAAACAATCAGACAAGTCTGGAGGCAAAAGAGCAAAATCAAAATCAAGACAAAAACCACCATTGTCACCTCCCCACGGGTCTCACCCACATCTGTGTCACCCCGTCCACGACCAACAGGCAAGTGCAGTTTCTTCACGTGTCTCTTGGCTCCATGTGCCTCCTGCAGGTCTCCTTCTGACTCCCCATCCTGCTTCCTTCCTTCCTCAGTCTCCTCTGCAGCTTCTCCTCTCCCTGCTCAGCTCCACCCTCCCTTGGGTGGGGCAGGAAACCTGGAACCTCCCCCTTTCCTGGGGACCACCCTGTTACAATTGGAAAGAGAGTGGAATAAAAAAAAGAAAGATTATTTCAGGCAATGCAACTTTCCCTGAAGGGAAGGCAGTGGGGTGGGGTGGGGGACAAAATCAGGGTTACCTCACTTGTGCTGACCAGAAATTTCTGGATGGATTGTTTACAATTCATTTTGGGGGAGAAACTGAAATTGCAGTGAGATTAAGTATAAAGCCTTGGTGGAAACTGGCATAAATGATTCCACTTTGTGCTGGTTGTTTAGTGCTAATTCCACTCATGGAGGCTCCACCCCCACCACCCACTTAACTCCCAAAGCCCCCGCCTCTGAGCCAATTCATGGTGGGTTAGGATTTCAACATATGCATTTGAGGGAAAGCAAATATTTAGTCTACAACAGGGAATTTTTTTTTAATATTAAATTTTATTTTTATATTCCCCCATATAATTGCAAACGCCCCATTCTGACCCCAATCCTTCCCCTCCCGCCCCCCACCCCCCAAAAAGTGTCTCTGGTTCATAGTTTTTTGTTGATTTTGATTTTCACTTTCTTATATTCATTTTCCTGGTCCCTTATTTAAGTTTTCTAGATTCCTGCTATGAGTGAGACCATCCGGTATTTTTCTTTTTCTTTTTGGCTTATTTCGCTGAGCATGATCCCTTCCAGCGCCATCCATGTTGCTGCAAATTGCATGTGTTTATCTTTTTTGAATGCTGAGTAATATTCCATGGTATATATGTACCACATCTTCTTGATCCAGTCATCTATTTTTGGGCATTTGGGTTGTTTCCAAAGCTTAGCTATTGTAAACAGTGCTGCTATAAACATAGGGGTGCAGGTGTTCTTCGGAATTGATGTTTCTGTGTCCTTTGGGTAAATACCTAGGAGTGGAATTGCTGGATCATATGGAAGCTCTATGTTTAGTAGGTCCAGAAATCTCCACACAGCTCTCCATAGTGGTACAACAGGGAATTTTACAAATAAAGCTATGATGAGCATTTTTCTACATGTCTTTTCACATGTGCATTCAGTTCTCTGGAGTAAATACCCACAGATGAATTGCTGTGAAATGTAGGTATATGGTGAATTTTAGCAAGCACTGCCATCATTTTCTGTGTGGCTGTATCAATTTACACTCCGGCAGGCCATGTGTGAGAGTTCCAGGTTCAGACCCACATCCTTGTGATACTTGGTATTATCAGTGTTTATTTTTAGCCATTCTGCAAAGTATAGAATGGTACCTCATTTATTTCTATTGATCTGGAGAGCATTTTTAGGGGACAGGTGCTATACCATACAATCTGTACATTGGAGAGGGCAGCGCAGTGATTTGCATATTTCTGGACACTTCCATCACCCCCAAACATACCCTTGTGCCTTTTTCCAATATATCCCTGCTCCATCCCCAGCCACAGTCAACCACTATCTGCTGTCAAGTCTATAGATTTGCCTTTCCAGGGCCTTTCATAAAGAAGGAAATTTACAACAGGCTTGCTTTTGAGTCTGGCTTCCTGCTTATATGGTGTTTGAGTTTCATCCATATTTTCACATGTATCAATAGTTCATTCCTTTTTATTGCAGAGTAACATTCCATTGTATAGATACATCCTATTTTGTTCATTCAACCACCAACTGATAGACACTAGATTCTCTCCAGGCACACTGACTGAAATACACTGCTGAGAGGAGCAGCGGGTGAGACAGGAGAGGTCTGCTGTGCCATGTGGGTAGCTCCCTGGGTGGGGATCGAACTCATGCTGCAGAGGCTGAGGATAGCTTCATAGTGCTGTGCTTAACCCCTTGCGCCACCAGGGAGGCCCTGAATAGCATTCTTACTGCCTATTCCACCCAGGCACATTTGGACATATTAGCATAGTTTACTTTTCTTTTGAATAGAATATCCTCTTTTTGGGAGATGTTCTCTTGGTAACTGATTATTCAAAAATGATGTCAAAATAGAAGACTTCCTTTTATCTCTTGGCAAATCTTCCATGACTATTACCTCCCAACAGACTAATTATGGTTGTCTCTCCTTGGTTCCCCTTCCTTCCCATTGCTACAGCAGCCCTCACCTGGGTAGCACATCTTAAAACCTCTCCTTTAGGAGAAGAAACGCTGGCCCACCGTGAAGTTTCAGCACCATGGAGAGCGCCACGAGCATGACTTACACCTCCCCCCCCCCTTTTTTTTTTGCAGCCAATGGCAAAGGCACTGCAGTGAAACAAATGCTGATTAGCTTTTGTAATTCTTTGTGGTTTCAACACCAGCACAGTTCCCATAAGTCAGTTCCTATATAGCTCAGTCTTCAAGAGCAAACCCAATTCTCGGTATTCAATTAGCATTCACGTGTACGAACCTGCCCATTCATGCCCACAAAATCACCATTCTACGTTTTAAAATACTCCGAGGAGGCTACCAGAGGGGAGGGTAGGAAATAAAGGGTGGAGGGGCCTAGGGTAAAAGACTGGGTGCTTTGGTGGTGGGCGTGGTGTGGGGACATACACCTGAGGAGGTGTAAACCTATACCTCTAAATCATATACAGTGTTATAAGTCACACACATAAATGATCTGAGGAATTTCTCCAAAGAATGTACAGAAAGGCTAACAAGTGCATGAAAATATGCTCAATACCATCACTCACTAGGGAGATGCAAACTAAACCACAATGAGAAACTACTTCACACTCACTAGAATGACTATAATTAAAATCACAATATTGAAATGTTGGTAGGGATCCAGAGAAATTGGAACCCTCAGATATTACTAGTGGAAATGTCAAATGGTGCAGCTGCTGTGGAAAATAATTTGGTGGCTCCTCAAAAATAAAATATAGAATTGCCCAGCAATTCCATGCCAGGTGTATAGCCAGGAGAATTGGGGGGGAAAAGTCTTTTTAATTCATGGAAAGTTTTTACATGAATGCTCACAGCACCCTGATTTTGAGTAGTCAAAAAGTAGAAAATGTCCAATGATGGATGAATAGATAAACAAAATGTGCTGTATCCATACAAGGGAATACTATTCACCCATGAAAAGAAATGAAGTATGTGATACAATATGAATGAACCTTGAAAACATTATTCAAAATGAGAATAGCCCATTATAAAAGACTAGATATCATAAATTCCACTGTAATGAAATACCTAGAATAGGCAAAAATCACAGAAATAGAAAGCGGTTTCCAGGGGTTGTGGGGAGAAGGAAGGGAGTGATGGCTTAATGAGACAAGGGTTCATTTTGGGGAGATGATGGTTGCACAACATTCTGTATATATTTAATGCCACATAATTTTACTCTTCAAAATGATCAACATGGTAAATTTCCTGTGTTTTGTGCCAGTTTCAGCCTATCATTACGCAAAGTGGTTGTTGGATGATTGCAAGATGTCCTTCAGTAATAACCATGGGGAAACTTAAAATTATACAAAGGTTTACTACTTACAAGACCTGGAAAGTACACAGCACTTTTGGGGTCACACGGTGAAGCATAGGTACAGAGAGGCGGTGGCGGGGGTCGGGGGGCGGCGAGAGAAAGAGAGATCTCTGAAATGGTCAGTTATTGGAATCAGCCAGGATATCTAAAGCAAAGGGGCTTGGGTGGGAGAGGGGAGGTGAGCGGCTCTTCATTTCATGTCAAGCAGAGTGTTTAATCGAAATATCCTCTTTGAAGTGGATGCCTCTGCAAACAAAGCATAAATCAGGCATTAGAAAAAGAAAACCAGGGCCTCCCTGGTGGTGCAAGGGGTTAAGACACAACACTATGAAGCTATCTGTAGCCACTGCAACATGAACTCAATCCCCAGCCAGGGAGCTACCCACATGGCACAGCAGACCTCTCCTGTCTTGCCCGCTGCTCCCCTCAGCAGTGTATTTTGGTCAATCTGCCTGTTCTGCTTCCCACTCTGTCTCTGGTGAATCCTCTCACACCCCATACCTCTGGCCTGCACCCCAGTTCTTGTATGCATAAATAAGTAAATCTTAAAAAAAAAAAAAACCCAAGGCTTTCTTTAAAAAAAAAAAAGAAAAAGAAAACCAAACTGTCAAGGTTCATGCTACATTGCATTATATGTATTTTATCACACATGAAAAACAAAATACTCAAGAGGGACCGCTGGTTGGAATCCCTCAGAGCCAGCCTGCGTTACTCCCAAGACACCCTTCTGCTCCTGGGTGATACCAGAGTTTTCCTCTGATACTCTGTGTCCCCTAAGAGCCTGATGATCGCTGCCCGTGGTGACCTCTCCTCCTGTCATCCGGACTGGGGGCCAGGTGAGAGCTAACAGCCTGCCCGAGCGCTCCTTCCCCCAATCTCTGGTCCCCTGCAGTTACTGGCTGAACATGGAGCACTTCCTGGTGAGCAGCCAGCTGGACCATGTGAATACAACTTTTGTGAAGTCTTCTGTCAATGACGTCAACACCAACATCTCAGAAGACCTGTACTTCTCTCTGACCCCCTCTCAGGTGAAGTGATCCTCCCATCCCCTCTGGTGGTTCAGGCCCTATTTTCCTAGGGAAGGCACATTTTTCAGAATTCAGAGATAGTCATGGGCTTTCGTGGCCCCCAGTCCCATCCAGTACCCCTCTGCCACCTCGCTAATGGGTGCTGGTGAGCACATCGGATGCAGGGGTCGTCCTAGCAGCTCAGCCCGCCTGCTCAGAGGACACCCCGAGGAGATCACCAAGTTGATAGTCAGGGGACCTGGGTCCTGGTCCCCAGCTCCCACCACGTCACTCGGCTTCCTCCAGGAAATCCCTTCCACTGTCTGGCCCCCAAGTCTTCAACTGGAAAATGAACTCTAAGTCTCCTCCAAAGCCTGAGGTTCCCAGGAGCTCTTCCAGCCAGGGCACGAAGGCATACCCAGGACTGCCTATGGACAAGCGGGCAGATTCTGGGTTTGTTTCAGTCTGGATTCGAGTCCCAGGTCTACCCCTCAGCAGCTATTGTGATCTTGGCAAATTACTTAACGTTTCTGCATTGGTTTCGCCTTCTGTAAAATGGTGATGGTATCGCCCACTTTCAAGGCTATTGGGGGGAGCATAAGAGATAATGCTCCCGAAAGCTCGGTGCACAGACGGCTCAGCCTCCCTCAAGGAAAAAGGTTCAGGCCCTCATCGAGGTTCTTGAGCTGTCTGGAGAAGGGGAGATGGAAGATAGATAGGGCTTTTTCACACCTGATATGTCACCCAAGCACCTGACTCCTCTGTGTGGGGTACATACTGGCCCCAGAAATTACCCATGTGTCCCTTTGATAAGACAGGGAAGGAGAAAGTGGGGGCCCTTAGCTCCAGCCAAGTTCCCCATTTCCATGCTCACAGGATGCTTTAGGGGCAGACCAGGGGGATCAGGAGGTAGCCCTAGAGGACAAGGACAGCCCGAGGACTGAGAAGGAACAAAGCATGCCCAGCGATGACCAGGGAATCGAGTGGACTGTAGTGGCCATCCTTAGCTATTACAAAATGTGTTATTGTAGGGAGGGTGGACAGGCCCTTCAGTGTGAATTCTTGTGTCCTCCATGCTGCACTCGCTGTGGCCTTCCTGGTGACCCTATTCTTTCCATTTATTCCCCAGTGAGAAGCCAGACAACTGTCCACATAAGCCCTATGTCAACACACAGGCTGTCAGAACTTTGGCCAAAAGCACATCAGAGCTGACCCCTGACCTGCTTGCAAACTGGCCTTGTCCAGGTGTCATCTCTTCACCTGACCAGTGGCCACAAATTGCTCATTTCTCCATGTTGGGTTAACTGGGGCTCCATGAGCTCTGTGCCTTATCCAGGGACTCGCCTGGGCAGAGCTGAGCTTGCATTGTGCCCCCAAGTGTCCTGCCTGAGGCCCTTGGGTGCTGAGCCTCCACCCATGTGCCTGTTCCCCCTCCCAAGTGGGGGTTGTGGCAGGACCTGTGTCTGGAGCTGGAATCCTGGGTAAAGACAGGAACAGCTGGGTCTGTGGTTGCAGATTCCGAGGCCCGTGACAGCAAGTGAGGACAAGCCCCCCGACAGAGTCCGGTTTCCCCAGAGCCTTTTTGCGTCCCTGGGAAGCAGCAGGAATAAGGTCCGGCTGGCCGTAACTATCCTGGACATTGGAGATGGGGATGTCTTTAAGGTGAGTTGAGGCTTGGGGGGACTCAAGGCAGCAAGGAGGCCCTCATTGGGGCCTTGCCTTCACTGAGGAGTTTTCTGCAAAGGGGCCTAATGGAGACAGAGGGGCGATGAGCTTCTGGAGAGTGATTCTAAAGCATCCCACGGTCATTCCAAACCCCTCTCTCCACAACCTGCAGACCCACACTGCTCACACACTCTAGATTCGTGGATGTGGATCCTGAGTGACTGTGTCTCTCAAGTGTTCTTGCATGTGCACAAATCTTTCATGTTCCTGGCGCATACAGGCTCACTTGTGCATAGGAGTGGCTGTGTTCACACGAGCACATGTAGCTTGTGTGCAAATATTTGCCAGGCGTGTGTCCTAGAGATGTGTACCCACTCGTAGACATGTGTACCCCCGAGGGCTGGTATGAGCAACTCCCCTGCCTGTCACCCCTTGCCCTCCATCTCTGGGTGGCTATCGCTTCTGGCCTGAGCCCCTCTAGTAGCTCCAGGGGCCAGCAGTGGAGAACTCGGGTATAAGGCTTTGAGACCCTTGGCCTGGAGTGCAGGACCTGCTCTGGCCCAGCTGGGCCACAGGGGACCCCAGGGAGCAGGCTCTGGTTTTGCTCTCCAGGCCAGGGCCCTGAGTCTTGGAGGTTCTCTGGAGGCCCCATCTGGCTCGGGTTGGGACATCCCCTTCTGCAACTGGCCTCCCCCATCCCTCCACAGGGCCCCCAGCTCAGGCTGAAGGACGGTAGCAGCGTGCTGAACAACCGCCTGGTGGGCCTCAGGCTGGGCAACCTCTCTGTCACTGGGCTGGCCGAGCCTTTTGAGATCACCTTCTCCCACCAGCCTCCTCTGCTTGTGAGTCCCCCACTCAGGCCTGGCGGTAACTGAGCGGCAGACAGGCAGTGGGCACCCATGGGACTAAGGCAGAGATGCAGGGGACTCTGTACCCATCAAAATCCGCCCAGGACAGCATGAGGACCACACACAATTGTGCCCAAGACATGTGCCCCTGCCCCACTCAGGTGCCCACTGGGGTGCCCACAGGACAAGCCACGTGCATGCACAGGCATTGCTCATCCACTCACATATATGTTCCCCTAAAGCATGTGCCCACCCAGCCTCACACCACAGCCACGCCCCTTCCACGCTGGTCCGGGACACGTCAAACACGCAGTTCTTGTGCCTGTGTGACCCATGGGCGAGCCCCGCCTTCTACCTGGTGCACACGTGCAGACACAAGGGGGTGCACCCTCCTCCCCACTTCCCAACCTTCTTTCCCTAACTCAGCCTCCCCTGCCTCTCCCCCGCCTCCCACTGTCTGGTTTCAGAACATGACCTTCAGCTGTGTATTCTGGGATGAGACAAAAGGTAGGCCATCCCCTGGAAAGATAAATGGGGGGATGGGGGATGGCTCCCTTGGGGGGCAGGGCTCCACCCTGGGCTCCTCTCTTCCCTTTCCCTCCCTGTTCACCCCTCCTGTCCAGGGTCAACAGGAGACTGGTCGTCCGAGGGCTGCTCTACAGAGATTGGGAACAAGAGCACCGTGTGCCGCTGTGACCACTTCACCTTCTTCGCCCTGCTTCTGGTAACTGCTGGCCCACCTGACCCTGGCGGTTCTGGGAGTACCAGGGCTCCTGGGAACAGGCTGCCAGGCAGGGGCCAGGGTCTTTGGCTTCCAACTAACAGGGTTCTTGTTCCCCGGTTTGCCACAGAAGCCAATCTTGGACTGGGCCACGGTGAAGGTCCTCACACGCATTTCTGAGGTTGGCTGCACAGCCTCCATGTTCTTCCTGGCCCTCACCATTGCCCTCTACATTTTCCTGAGGTGGGTGGCCTGCAACCTAGTCCACATCTTCCGCCAGGCCTCAGGGCGGCTGCAGTGTGGGGTAGAAAGCCCCCATTGGTGCTGTAGCCTTACACCTGCTTCTCCAAACCTATTTCCTCATCTACAAAATGGGTTTGGAGGCTGAATTGTGTTTGGGTTATTTCAGTGGCAAGTGACAGAAACTCAACTCAAATTGTCTTAAACATAATAGGAAATGTGTGTTTCGTGTAACTGGACAATCCAAAGTGAGCTCCCTTCAGGCATGGTTGGATCCAGGGGCTCAAAAGATGCCCCCAAGGTTTGGTCTCCCAACTTTGCTTTCTCCTGAGTCACAACCAGCAACATTTGCACATTCAGGGACTTTGAGGACCTAAGGAATTAAAATGGTTTCTTAGCTGTCTACATAGCTAATAGGCTAAACTAAGTCCCCAAATTAAGTTCTTTTTAAAAAATTATTTTGCAATAATTATAGACAAATAGGTACTTGCAGACATAGTCTAAAGAGTCCTTGGTTCCTTCACCCACTGTCCTCAGTGATGATGTTTGATATAACTTACAAATATCACAGCCAGGAAATTGACACTGGCCCAGTGCTGCTAACTAGAATGAAGACTGCAGTCCACTTTTACATTTTTAATCATGTGTGCATATACGCGCGTGTGTGCACACACATGTGCACAGGATTGACTATCATTTGTATGACCCAGTGCAAAAGGAAAATATGTGGCCCACTTGTTCAAAATGTACTAGAAATTGGGCCTCCCCTGGTGGCACAGGTGGTTGAGCGCGTCATGGTGAAGCTGTCCACAGCCTCTGCAGTGCTGGTTCAATCCCAGCCGGCCGGCAAGGGTCCCACATGGCGCGGCAGACCTCTCCTGTTGCACCTGCTGCTCCCCTCAGCAGTGTATTTTGTCAGTCTGCCTGTTCTGTTCCCTGCTCTGTCTCTGGTGAATCCTCTCACCTTCCCGCGCATGTGGCCTGTACCCTGGTTCTTGTATAAATAAATAAAATAAATCTTTAAGAAAAAATGTACTAGAAATGCTCCCTTTCAGACTGGTTAGAGCAGAGCATTAAACCAAGCCCAGGGCTCTTCTAAATATGGCCCCGCAGCATTCACATGACTATGACACTGGCATCATTTTTTTTTTTTTTTTTTTGGCGGGGGTGAGGCTGCTGTCTACACACAATTAATGTATACCAGAATGAGTTTTCCTGGTCTAACTTGGACCATATGTCCATGACTGAAGAGGCCCCTGACTGACCAGATCAGATCACGAGACTGCACTTGGATTTGAGCAAACCAAGACCAAGCCCACCCGATTTCATGGCTGAGAGTTGGGGACTGTGTTCGTCCGGGAAGCTGGAAGATGCATAGGATGCAGGACAGGCAGACACAGCCAAGTCTGCTGCAGGTCCAGGCTGTGACTGAGGGACCCACAGGATCCCCTGCCTGAAGAGTGTGTAGGAGCAGCCCCACGCCCCAGACTGCCCTGTTCCTCAGCTTCCTTACCTGTCTGGCCTGGAGCAGCCCTGGGGTCTCCTGATCCCCAGTCCACTGCCCTTCTCCACTTGATTCAGCCACCATCTGACCTTGAATTGCGGCCCCTATTAGCCCCACCCCCTCCTTCCCAGGTGCTGTTGTGCATGTAGAGGTGCCCCTGTCTCCATCCCCCAAGCCCTGGCCTAGGACACTGGTCCATCCCCAGAGCTGGTTGCCCGCTCAACCCTGGAGCCCAGGAGGAAGGGTCACCAGCTCCCCAGGGCAGCTGGTAGGGCCTGGCAGGTGAGGTGGACATTGTCCCTCATTGTCCCCTCTAGGCCTCCCTGTGCTCCCACATTCAGGCCCTTTGGGATTTGATTTGCTCAGAATTTGGAGCCGGGCTCCACACTCTGGGGATGGGAGCCTGGAGGCCCTGCTCTGCTGTGACTCCACAAGAGTCCAAGTCCCTCTGTGCTCACTCTCCCTGCTGCTTCACAGGCCTCACATACCCATGCCCTGCCATCTACTCAAGCTCATGTCCAGGGCCTCCTCCTGCCGACTGAGCTAGGCCCAAGGAAGTGGATGTGGGCCGGCTGGCTGCGGGCTGGCTGCTGCAGGGGTGGAAACTGGCAGTGTTACACCCAGTGCAACATGGGTGGCGGGGTAGAGATGACTGACTGGGTGCCCCACGGGCGCTGCGGCCCCTTTTCTCCCCAGATGTTTCAGGCAGAGGCTCAAGTCGGAAGATGCCCCCAAGATCCACGTGGCCCTGAGCGCTAGCTTATTTCTCCTGAATCTCACCTTCATCATCAATGTGGAGGAGGGGTCCCGGGGGCCTCATGTAGCCTGCCGGGCCCAGGGTGCCGTCTTCCACTACTTCCTGCTCTGCGTCTTTACCTGGATGGGCCTGGAGGCCTTCCACCTCTACCTGCTGGCCATCAGGGTCTTCAACACCTACTTCGGGCACTACTTCCTCAAGCTGAGCCTCGTGGGCTGGGGTAGGTGCTGTCTGGAGCGGCAGAGGGGGTGGCTGCCCTGGAAGGAGCAGGGAGGGGAGTGGTCTGGGCCCAGGGCTCAGGGACAGGCAGCTGGAGGGAGCTTTAGAGGAGGCCATGTCAAGGAAGCCAGTGACGCCATGCCTCTTCCCCTTGCGCCCAGGACTGCCCGCCCTGATGGTCATTGGCACCGGAAGTGCCAACAGCTATGGCCCCTACACCATTCTTGACCAGGAGAAACGCATCACGATGAAGCTGTAAGTGGGAGCCATGGGAGCCGGGGTGCACACTGGCCCTGCCTGTGCCAGGGGGAGGGGGAAGAGGAGGGGATCCTGGGAAGAGACACCAGTGTTCAAGGCCAAGGATGAGTCTCAGATCTGGGCTGCCCCTGGTGGAGGGTGGAGGGCTAAGTTGAGGCCTGGAGGGAGGAAGAGAACGAGGAGAGGGGAAGAGAGAAGAGAACTAGACTGAAGACCCCACCTCGCCTCTCCTCCCCTCCCCTGCCCTGCCCTCCCTGATTCTAGCCACCACCAATGCACATGGCCCCTTTATAATTGGCACATTATAAAAGCTACTCCCATCTGCCACCCCCGCCCGCCATGCCAGGTGTTTGGGCTGGTGAGCAGTGGGGTGCTGGAGTTCCGTCCCATTTGCTGTCAGCCAAGTGCCCAGTGTAGGGCACAACCTGCTCAGCCATCCGCAGTGGCCTGATTCTGTCTAGGCTCTGCCCCTGAGTGACCCTGGGTTAGCCCACCCCCTGCCAGGGCCTCTCCTCGTCTGTACGATGGGAGCCTTCAGCTCTGCAGTGCTGGGGCAGCGGGGTGGCCTGAACCTCTTCTTGGCTCCGACCCTGGGCCCATGATCCTGTGCTCGGAGGGGCTGGCGGGCCTTGTCCTGTCCTCAGGCCCTCGAATGCAGAGACCACAGGGACTGAGCGGGTAACTTAATGGCAGGCATTGGCCAGAGTGAACTGGCCACACCCCACTTATGGGCAGCTGATTGCTGCACCTAGGGGTGTCCACAGACTTGCCTGGTACATTGTTTTACAACAGAAGCATACTGGATATTTATGCCAAACTGCCCTTTTTTTTTTAAAGATTTAATTTTTATTCATACAATTGCTGGGATACAGGCCAGAAGCACGGGAGAGTGAGAGGATTCACCAGAGACAGAGCAGGGAGCAGAACAGGCAGACAGATGGAAAGCACTGTTGAGGGGAGCAGCGGGCGAGGCAGGAGAGGTCTGCTGCGCCATGTGGGTTTCTCTCCGGCTGGCCGGGAATCGAATCCGCGCTGCAGAGGCTGCGGACAGCTTCACAGTGCTGTGCTTAACCTGCTGCGCCACCAGGAAAGCCTGCCAAACTGCTTTTTAAATGGAGGCCAATAATTCCATTTTTTTAAAAAAAATATTTATTTATTTATACAAGCACTGGGTACAGTCAGAAGCGCGGGAGGGTGAGAGAATTCACCAGAGCCAGAGCGGGGAGCAGAGCAGGCAGAAGGACCGAAGTACACTGCTGAGGGGAGCAGCGGGTGGCAGGAGAGGTCTGCGCGCCATGTGGGACCCTCCTCCGGTGGCCGGGGAGCAGCTGGGGATCGAACCTGCGCTGCAGAGTCTGCGGGCAGCTTCGCAATCCAGCGCTCAACCGCTGCGCCACCGGGGAGGCCCAATAATTCCATTTTTTAAACATAATATGGAGCAAGCAAAATGTGTTTTGGGGGCCAAATTGCCCCTTTTGCACCCATTGGTCCAAAGAGAGAGCAGAGTGGAGCCTCTGGAGCGGGGATTCCCCAGGAGAGCAGGAATCAGTGGTGGAGATGAAAGAAGACATCTTGGTCACAGATGGCCAGTCGAGGGGGGTTGCCCAGGGCTTGCTGGTCAGGGGGTACCTCTCCCCATCCCCATGGCCATCCACTTCCTCCAGGTGCTGGTTCCATAAAGAAACTGCCCTCTACATCACTGTCCACGGCTACTTCCTCATCACCTCGCTCTTCAGCGCCGTGGTCCTGGGCCTGGTGGCCTGGAAGATCTTCACACTACCAACCATCACTGCGGGCAAAGAGGAGGGACCAAGATGGAAATCAGTTTTCACTGTGCTGGGCCTTTCGATCCTGGTGGGCATGACATGGTGGCTGGCCATCCTCACGCCCCTGGGCCTGTCCACTATCTATGTCTTCGCATTATTCAACTCCCTACAAGGTGAGACTCCAGGACCTGGGGAGCTGATGGGGGTGCCTCATCTGCCCTGGCCGGGGTTGGGAGGTAGGGAAGGGTGGATGGCAAGAAGCAGGACTCCACTCAGGCTAACTGAGATCAAGAGTATTGGTTTGAAATATCCAGGGCTCCCCCAAGGACCCCAGGGGAGATGGGGGTGCTGGAATCAAGGTCGGGAAAAGTCACCAATCAAAGCAGACACTTTGTCCATCTTCTTCCCTGGAACTATGTCTCTCACCTTCTTTTTTCTGTGGAAACTCCTTCATGGCCTCTCTACCGCCCATTCCTTCCCATGGTCATCAATGGCTTCCCAATATGGCAGCCTCAACCTTTCCTGATCTTCCAAGTCTACAGACCACAGTCTGAGGCCATCTCTTCCACATTCTTAGGAGAGGCAAGGATCTGACCGGGCCATCTTGGGTCAGCTGTCCATCTCTGGTCCAGCCAGTTGTGACCAGGAGGGCAGGGTCATGTGACATGATGGCCACATGACAGGGACAGTCTTTAAGGAACTGTGGAAGTGGGAGGGAAATGATTTTTGGAGGAACTGCCTGTGAGGAGCACAGTAGGTTTTCTTTCTTTTCTTTTTTTTTAATTGAAATTCTTTTTTTGGTTAAGATTTATTTACTTATGCATACAAGAACTGGGGTACAGGCCAGAGGTGAGGGGTGAGAGGATTCACCAGAGGCAGAGTGGCGAGCAGAACAGGTGCACTGACAGAAATACACTGCTGAGGGGAGCAGCGGGTGAGACAGGAGAGGTCTGCTGCACCATGTGGGTAGCTCCCTGGCCAGAGATAGAACTCGTGCCGCAGAGGCTGCAGATTGCTCCATAGTGCTGGCATTTAACCCCTTGTGCCACCAGGGAAGCCCCACAATAGGTTTTTAATATGTGGGAACTGTGTTAATAACATCAGAAATCTTCACCACGAGGTCATCTGGGAGCCCCCCCCAAGTCCATGGAGGGTCACGAGTCTATGTCTGGAGAATCCCAGGGACTAAATCCACACAAAGCTCTTATTTTACTATTAGTTTCCGTCTTTACTCCACTTTGTACACCTCACACTTCCCTTTTCTTGCTGAAGTGCATCCTATGATACGCCTTTGTGGAGAGGTGGGGAGACCCCAGTGGGGTGGCTGGGATATACATCTAAACATTGCTTTCCTTTGCTCTTTCTCTTCTGGCATAGAACTATGCATGGATGGATTTTATTTCAAGTTCTCTGGCTTTCACGTCCCAGATGGCTATCTGGTTCTTTTTTAGAAGTAGGTTTCATTTTTGCCTTTCTGGCAAGTTCTCGAACATTGACAGGAGAGCTACTTATCTCTGGACAGCTGCCAGCTAGACCTCCGAGCCCTCTCAGTCTCCTCACGCTCACCTTGGCCCTCTCCCCCTGACAGGAGTCTTCATCTTCTGCTGGTTCGTGGTGCTGTACCTCCCGGGCCAGTGGGCCGAGTCCTCCTCTTCCGGCACTGCCGCCGTCAGCCAGACCCACTCCTCGTCTCGCGAATAGGGGGCCGCAGTGTGGCCCAGCCCAGGCCCTAACCTGCACCCTAGGCTCAGCTCTGATTCACCTTGTGCCCTCGGGTGGCTCCTGCTGGGACTCAGTTTCCGTGTTTGCATAATGTAACTGGGGAGGGAGGGGTTGGAGACCAGGTTGGGCCACCTGGCCTCAGAGGTTTCATCCAGATGTACCTGTGGTTTTGAGAGTCCAGATCCAGCCTTGCAGGAGTCTAAAGTCCCTGCCATCCTGAGCTACCTGCTAACATGCCTTCACCCCCACCCGCAAGCTCATCCCTTCTGACAGGGCCCCACTTCTGCTCTCAGGATGGGCCCAAGCCCAAATAGGGGAGTTATTGTTCACACAGCCTCTCCCCTCTCTTCCCCTTGTCACTGCCCCTGCCTCCACAGCTCCCCCGACCCACATGTGAGGGGCATTCAGGAAGGGGGAGACCAAGGGAAGGAATGCAACAGAGGTTTGTTTTTGGCCCTGCCACCCACCTGCCCCTGGCCTGGACCAATCCCACCAAGGTCCACCCTCACAGAAAACCCCCCCCTAGCCCATTCAGGGGTCCCCCAGATGTCTGGCGACACTGCATTTCAAGAAATGGTAATGTCAAGGGAATTGTCACAATTAGGCTGAAATAAAATGATAGCATTTGCTGGGGGTGTCTTAGATTTGCTGGGCAGATGCTTACTCTGGTCTGAGGCCCTACAGAACCTGGTGTTTCCAGGCCCTGGATAAATATTTGCTGTGCAAACAGATGTGAGATTCGCATCAGTCTGACAGGGCCTTGGGCCAGGTGAGTGTCTCAGGCCAGACCCTGGCTGGGTACGTCACTTCCAGTGGCCGGACCACCATTTCACAACCATGTGTTGGTTTCCTCAGTAGGAAACCGACAGAGATAGGGGTAGAGAGAGCATGCATCAGTAAGTTGACACGGAGCAGAGAGAGGAAGAAAGACAGTCCCCGCCCCCACTCCCTACCAGGACGGCAGGGTATCGGTATGGGGGCCTCCCCAGAGCCCCAACCCCGTATCCATGCCCCCACTCCAGCCTAACTAAACACCAGAAACTCTCACTGTTTCCAGTGTGGTTTGCACGCTGGAAATACTTTCTCCAGGAGAGAGGTTGCTATCATTAGATCCTCCCTCACAACCTCCGGGGTTACCAGCCACCATGCCAGGGTTGATCTCTGGACTGGTAGGGATTCTCTCCCTTCTCCCTCCTCCCACACAGCAGAGACATGAAAGACCGGAAGGCTGGGGCTCTTGTTTTGTGCAAGCCTCGTTCCTGGAAGGGAAATCTCAGGGTGTGGACATCGCTTGGGTTGAGCCACTTTATCAGTCTCTGCTTATCTTCACAGGCATCTGTGTGCCTCATGCTGAAAGGCTGAGTCCCCTTAGCCAGAGGCTCAGCATTTCTCAGAACAGCTGTCCCAGGGTTGACAGGCCTGGGTTCAAATCCTGGCTCCGGTCCTTAGACGCTCTGTGACCCTGGGCCAGTCACCTCCCCTCTCTGAGACTCAGTTTCCCCTCCATAAGATGGGGATCATCAAGTCCTTGTCCCAAGAACATTAAGTGAGGTGACAGAAGTAAAGTAACTCAGCAGGAGTGGATCAGCTCCCTGGGATGCCCCTGACTTATACAAAGTTAGCTGGACCCCTTGTGGAAAGCAAATCTGGATTCTGTGTGGAAACAAGGAGGGGAGCAGGTTAGAGACCCCTCCTAGAGTCCTCCTACAGCTCTGCCAAGTGGACCAGCTTTTGTGGGGGGGGAGGGGATGGAGGCCAAGCCAAGCCAGGCGACCTGCCCAGGGCCACACAGAGGGAGCTGACAGTGCTGGCGGCTCCTCCCAGAGCACTCCCTGGGTTTGAGGATTCTAGCCCCCGAGGCTCAAGGGAAACCCCAGACTGTGGTTTGCTCAGACTTACTCAGTGGGATGTGGGACCACCCAAACCACAGACCCAAATGGGGCTTCCTAGTGCAGATGGAGAGGGCCAAGGGGAACAGCTAATTGTGGGTATGTGTCCAGCCAGGTCCAGGCAGGGTTGAGAGGCTGGGCTCCCCCGTTGTCTGGAGTCACCCCCAAAGTGGCTCTGATGGCTACACCCAGCACATACTAAGGCCTAGAGCGGGTAGGGCAAAAATACAAGGCCCAGCACGGATGGACAGGTTGCCCCGTTGTTGAAACAAGCATTACCTGGAATAACAGATAAAGCCTTTACTAGACAATCAAAGTGCACCAAAAGCCAGGATGCAGCCTGACATATTTCACTCTGTGGGCACGGTCAACCGTCACAAATTTAAGTTCAGTTTATGTAGATACAAACAGTGAACCATCGACATAAAAAGTGTAGTTGGGCTTCTGGTCCTAAGTTATTTTGACCTAAAGATATGCTGATCTTTGCTCAGAGGAAGGCAGATGCTGGAGTTTGAAAAATCACCATCCCACTTCTAAATAAATGCACCGTGTGGCTCCTTGGTCATGAGTGGGGGTTGAGAAGGCTGCTTACCTAGCGCCCACCCCCCACCCCGTAAGTAGATTTTTGCATAGTTGCTTCACAGACTTCAAGTCCATGCAGGTGGCTCTGTCCTCTCATCTGTTAGACCAGGCAGGGGTTTGTTCCAGAACATTCTGGAGGATATTTACTCATCATAATAGCAGTCCAGGATGAGGATAGACAATGGCAGGAACTCTGAGGTCAGCCTGCCTGGTGCAAATTCTGCCTTTGCTGCTTCCTTTGGTCCAGCCCCTCGTCTACTGAACCTGGAAGCAGGCACACAGTAGCTGCCCCAATGGGTGTGTGAGGATTAAATGAGGCACTGGCTAAAAGGGCTGCTGGTCCCTGGCTGCCCTGGCCTAGGTATGAAAGCAACTAGGTCAGAGCTTTGCTTTGGCCGTGACTTTGGCTTCAGAGGTGATCTGTGTGCAGCAGGGAGATTCGCCCCCGCCCCCCCATGGCTCTGGACTCTGTTTAGGCCCAATTTCTTCATTCCTAGTATTTTCCATTACAATATAACAGTTTTGCAGGAAATAAGGAGACTTAACTTGTTCTGTGCTCCCAGCTAGATACTGTAATATCAAAAGATAAAATTTGTTAAAATCATCCATGAATGGACAATGCAATTCCAACAGAGCCAAATGAATTTTTTTAGACTTTGCAAAGATATCCCAAAATGGAAACGGAGGCACCCGGGCCTCAAATGGCTCAGTCAGTTTTATAGCATGAGTGCACAGAAGGAAGATTTGATCTTATGAAGATATTGCAAATAGCTTTCAAAGTCATGGTGGTAGGTCCAATGTGTGGTCTGTGCAGGGATAGGCATGAAGACCAGGAGAACAGAACAGAGGACTGAGTAGGAGACATGGGTGTCCCCGGAGGACTTAACACACAAGATGCTACCACCAAGAAGGGCTGGAAGGTGTGATAATGATTCTGGAAAATTGGTGATCCTATGGGGAAAGACAAGTGGGATTCCTTCCTCCTGCCGAGATGAATCCAGATACATCAAAGGTTGAAATGGGAGGGCAAAACTGTAAAGTCAATGTAGGAAAATGTGACAAAGGACTAGGAAGGACTTCTCAAACCAAAATCCAAACGCACAAGACATCGGACCCAAACGCGATCAGGTTAATGTCATTCAAAATAGGGCTTTCTGGTTTTGCTTTGTTTTTTTTAAAGAAGTGTGGGAGGGTGAAAGGATTCACCAGAGACAGAGCAGGGAGCAGAACAGGCAGACTGACGAAATACACTGCTGAGGGGAGCAGTGGGCAGCAGGAGAGGTCTGCGTGCAAAATGGGGCTTTCTGTTTAATGAAGGACCTCTTCCTCTTACTCCCTTCTTCCCCGGCATGATGTTTACAGACATATGACAGAATATGGGAAGGTAATTGCAACATCTGAAAGCAGGGATTAACACTCTTGAGTCCTGGAAATCAAAATGAGGAAGTCCCCAAGTGTGAAAAATAGGCTGAGGTTTTTAAAGACAATTTCGGAGGAAGAATCACTAAAATGAACACATTAGCACATGCAGACATATTTAGAAGCATTGGCGACCAGAAAGCCGCACGTTAAAATGACAGTGAGCTCTCATGTCTACATTAGATGGGCAAACATTAGGGAGCTAGAAATGATAGACTGCCTGCAAGAGTGAAGGCTTTAGGCTCCCTCATATTTAGAAGGTAGGGAGAACATAGGTTTCTGCCTAGGGAAAAATGGGGTACTTCTTCTGACCCAGCAGCCCAGCTCCTGGGCTAGGTATGAATGCAACTAGGTCAGAGCTTTGCCTTGGCCGTGACGTTGGCTGCAGAGGTGATCTGTGTGCGGCAAAGGAATTTCACCCCAAAGGAACACTCTTATAGGTCTGGAAGGACACCCCTGAAGGCATTATCTGTGGTGGGAGGGAGATGGTGGCAAAACAGAGTGTCCATCACAGGGGGAGTAGAGAGGTAATCAGTGTGGAGCAAGATCATGGCCACAAAGCAATGTGGATTGAGCTTAAAGAAAAAAATTCTTTATGAAAATATAAGAGACAGAAGGAGATATAAGCACAATATCATTTACATAAGTTAAAAACATCAGTATGCAAAACAGTGCTCATTTGGCGGGGAGAGGGGAGAATACATTAGAACAGTTGCCTATAAGGCATGGGGAATAGAAGTGGGCATAGAGATAAAAGGGAGTAAATATGCGAAGGAAATGAGATATTACATGGGAAACCTACATTCCACTTAGCAACCTAACATATCATGTATTCTCCTTTGCCTCTTCCCTTCCTGCCCTCACCCCAGGTGAATATTCCAGAGGTCATCCCAGGGCATGCACCAGGACTTAGGTCCATGCCCTGTCTCATGACCTTTCCCCAGGTCTAATTTATCTATATCACATTTTATTTTTCATGGCTGCATAATATTCCAACCCACATTGAGAACTGTTTCTTATTGATAATTGAGGTGATACCTACTTTTCCACCAGTAACAGTGACTATAAAGTTGAAGACTGCATTGGTACAAAGACAAGAGGATTCATAATGACATCTTCGTTATTAATCTATTCCTTTTTTCTTCTGAATTAAAAAAAAAAAGAAAATCAAACATTTTCATGGGCCCCTAACTTAATATATTTTCCTTTACCTTTCCCTCTCCCTTGGCTTATATACTAACCCAGAGGCCCACTGCAGACTAGAACCCAGCACTCAGATAGGCAGGCTGCTTCTGTCCACTGTGCCAGGCAGCCATGCCAGGCTCCACACTTGTTTCCATCTGTCTTGCTGAAGGCCATGATGACCGTGCAGGGGTCAGAGGCAGTGTTATCCTGGTAAATGTCTACCCACTGGCTTTCTAGGAGAGAAAACCCTGGTCTATGGCATTTTCTATCTCTGTAGTATAAATAACCCCATGGCTGATTTTAAGCCATCAGTGTGACATCACTGAATAGAAGCTGGGGACTCACCATCATATAATATTTGCATTGTACAAATACAATAAGCAGAATAACGTCAAGAGCATCCATAATAGTAAAAGGTCATAAAAGAATTAGAAAGTGTTAAATTTGGAGAATTTCTTGCCTTTACTTTTAATATAATCTATTGACTTGTAAGTTTTTATAACTTAATTTGTAATAATGGGTATGTTTTTCAACTGACTCACTAGATGCCTGAATGTTGACAACCGGCTCTGTGAGTTGGCACTAGCTGGCTGCAGCCCTCCACTGGCCAAGGGCCTAGACCTGGGCAGTGGCCGACTACATTTCCCAGAAACCTCCTCTTCCAGGGCCTGCCTTCAGCTGCGAAAGCTGTTACCATGGAGACGGGCTAACAGATTGTACAGGCTGTCCTGACAGGGGTGAGGAGGGAGCTGGGGGCTGGGGGTGGCTGGGCCCTGGCTGGGGAGGGTGCCGATGGTGGGGGCTTTCAGTCCTGATCTTCCTGGGGAGATTTTCTGTGTGTGTGTGTGTTTTGTGTGTGTGTGTTTGTGTGCGTGTGTGTGTGTGTGTAAGGGGGAGGCTGCTGCTAGGAACAGGGAGTAGGGAAGGACCTGTGGGATAGGGAGGGCCTCTGGACTTAAGGGCAGGGTCTGGAGAGCTTGAGGTGGGACTGCTCTCCCCAAACCACCCTGTTGCCTGTGTGGGGCACAGAGGACGCTGGTGCTGGCCCAGCTGTGTCTGAGTAAGGTGGTCTGTGACCTCGGGCTCAGGGACCAACTCAGTGCCTGCCCAGTCATGACCCCTGCTGCCCACTGGCTCCAAGGCCTTCTCCCCTTCCAACCTCTGATCTTACCACTCCCCTACCCTAGCTATTTGGGGCTTGCCCTTCTCATTAAGGCCTTCGGTGCCTGGGTCAGAAGCCAGAAATGCACAGGTTCAAGCCCCAGATTGGCTACATACAAGCTCTGTGTCCTTAACCTCTCTAGGCATCAGTTTTATCACCTGCAAAATGGGTATCATAATGGTGTCTGCCTCATACTCTCGGCAGATAAATGAGATCATCTCCGAGAAATCCTTGGCACAGTGCCTGACACACAGCAGGTGTTCGGTGAACTGTAACAGCCTGGTGACGGTTACCACTGTCCCCTCTGGGCTTATCCTCTCTGTGCGCAAGTGGCAGGCAGTGAATGGGATCACCACCAGGCTGTGCTTGGCTGACAGGCAGAGCGGGAGTTTGGCCCACCGGAAACTGGGGTCCTGCATGGGCCTGCTGGACACAAGGCCCAGCTGTGATGCTGACCGCCTGGGACTCAGGCAGCAACACGAGTGGCCAGTCCCTCCTGAGACCTGCAGAGTCCCGTCCTATGTTAGCCTTGGACAGAAAACATCCGTCCCGCAGTCCCCCACCCTAGCTAGTCCAGGCCTTGCCTTCTGCAGACTCAGAAAGGGGCGGGGATTGGCCCGAGGGCCCAGTAAGCGCTGCTGTCGGCAGAACTGAGCTCCCCCGACCAGGCTGGCCGTCCGAGGCAGCCCAGATTGGGGTTGGAGCAGCAAGGGGGACCTAGCTCTTTCCTCCTGCCTTTTGCTGTCTCAGTCCTATTGTGCCCAGGGGCTGTGACGAGTCTAGGGGACCCTTCCCTTTTCTCCTCGGTCCTCACCGGAGGGGGGCGTTCTCCTTGATGGAAAGGATGTTTAACAGGGACTGGCTTCCTCCTGAGGTGACCTTCACCGCCTCACACTATCTCCCAGAGGGACCTCAGGGCTATCGGCGGCCCCTTCCTGGGCTGAGCGCCATTATCCTGAGTGCATTTGCCAGCCTTGCAGGGAGTCCATCCCTCGACGCCAGAGACTGGCCGGCATGGAGGTCCTGAAGGAGAAAGTGGAGGAGGAAGAAGAGGCCGAGCGGGAGGAGGCAGCCGAGCGGGCAGAAAGAGGCGAGAAAATGATGAAGCCAGTGGAGGCGCGGAGGGAGGAAGCCATCATGACGCAGGAGATGGTCAGAGAGCTGCAGAAGAAGCTGTCGGCCATTGAGATCACTGTGCCGGAGCTGCCCGCGTGAGTACCGGTCAGGGCTTCCTCCGGCAGCCCTGCGGAGGGCCAGAGGAGGACTGAGCAAAAGGACAGCTGAGTAGCATGGTGCTTGGCATGGTGCCTGAGAGGTGGGAGCAGCACTTGGAGGGAGGAGCACAGAGTGAGGGCTGAGCTTCCAGACTGTTTGGTCCAAGTCCCCACGCGCCCCCACTAGCTGTGTGACTCTGGGTAAGTCACTCAGCCTCTCTGTGCTTTGGTTCTCTCATCAGTTTCGAAGTACAGATGCTTCCCTCCTAGTTAGTTGTGAGGACTAAGGAGGAAGGGGTAGAGCCAGCAGCAGCTAAGGTGGATCAGGAGCACGCCAGGCCTGGTCTCACGCACACTAACACCACCCGTCCGTGGACACAGGGCCTTTACCAAGGACACCATTGACACCTCCAAGCTGCCCCCTTCCTACCAGAGCAACACGCTCAAGGAGGAACACCTGCTGCAGGTGGCTGACAACTTCGCCTCCCAGTACAGCCACCTGTGCCCGGACCGCATGCCCCTCTTCCTGCACCCGCTGAATGAGTGTGAAGTGCCGGTAAGGCTGGCAGAGGGAGGGGGTGGTCAAAGCACAGACTTCTCGTGGGGTCAGAGCTTATAGTCTGGGGCAGCCTGAATTCAAATGCCAGCGGGTTGGGTATGAGGAACCCCTGTCCACCTCAGGGGCAGCGGATACCCAGTGCAGTCTCCAGCTCCAGAGGCCAGTCTTGTCCAGGGAAGGGCAGGGAATGAAACAAGACTGGCCAGGGATAATGCAGGCCTCCTTCCTTCCAGCCCTGTGACCCAGGGCATATCCCTGGCTCTCTCTGGGCCTCAGTTTCCCCATCTGTAGATGGGTGGTGCATCGGATTATTCTCTGGCCCACTTGGTAATATTCAATATTTGCATAAGCTGCCTGCATTTGAAACTCAGATTCCCACATAGATCTCTTCTCCCCTTTGATCTGGGAACTCTGTTTCCTACATTTCCCCTGCAGCAATCAGGGGGGCTGCCCTGGGCTGCCTGTGAGGTGGGGCCACATGCAGTCTGGACCTGTGAGATCTGGTGCTGGGGGCGCCTTCCTTGAATCTGTGGGGATACCCCGGAGAGCCAGGCCTGGCCTGTGGCCCCCAGCCCTCAGGGGACCTGCCAGCTCTTCAAGGTCTAGACCCAGCTCCACTATTACTGTGAACCTAAGCAAGTCTGCTCGCCTCCCAGAACCTCTGTCACCCCACCGGTGGGGGGAACTGCCCCCCACACAGTCCTCACAGTTGCTGGGGACCGGGGTCTGGCAGCACCTAGTGAGGGCTTGGAGACAATGGAGGGGCCCTGATAACATTTCCACCAGGGAGTGGGGGCAGCAGAACCTGAGACTGGAAGGGCGTTGGGGAATCCCTCCCTCCAGCTCTCAAGGCACCCAAGGGGAGACCCAGATAGTCACCTCAGTTCCCCGCCTCCTGGGAGCTCTGGGGTATCCTCCCAGGTGGAATGCCCTCCTGGGGCCTCGATCTCGCCCCCTGCAGAAGTTCGTGAGCACAACCATCCGGCCCACACTGATGCCGTACCCTGAGCTCTACAACTGGGACACCTGCGCCCAGTTTGTCTCGGACTTCCTTTCCATGGTCCCCCTGCCTGACCCCCTCAAGCCGGTGAGCCACACCCTGGGGCCACATCCCTAGGCCCGTGAGGCCCAAGATGGGGAACCAGATGGGTTGGCAAGAGGATGGGTGGGCTAAGCTCAAAGCCTTCAAGTCTGCCTGGGCTGAGCCTCTCATAGACGCCCTGGGGAGGTCTCTGGGGGAGGGCCAGAGAGAGAGTCACTGGCCTGAGGTTACACAGCAAGCCTGGTCTCCCAGCTCCCTCCTCTTTGCCTCTCTTTGCCTTTAGAGTCTTCCTTTCATGACTTCAGGAGGTGGGGGAGAGAGAGAGGAGGCCTCACTGCTGTGCCTTGGCCCCATCTGTGGATTTCTGATCAGCTCCATCCATTTCTCACTGAAAATGGAGGGAGGGCGAGAGGGATGGGTGTAGGTGGAGATTTGAGCAAGGAGAGAGAAGGAAAAGATAGGGATAGAAGGTGACGGGAACTTTCGGCAAAGAAAGACATGAAATCACTAGAGAGCATTAGACCAGAGCTTCTGCAGTCCAGAGGGTCTTTGCTGTTAGGAAGTCCACAGGTGTCTTAAAAGTATAGGCCAATGTGGACTGCACTTTCTAGTCAGGGGTCTGTGGTTTCCAGCCCCTAAGGAGCAGGCTCCCTAACCTGCCAAAGGGGAGGGGCCCTGTGGGGTCCAGCCTGCCCAATGGCCCCAGCCCCCAGCTCCTGACAAGTGGGAGGACAGGCTGGCGCAGTGGGCCCAGCAGTGCTGACCAGCCCACTCTGGCCAGCCCACCCACCTGTACTCGTCGACCACCGTGCTCAAGTACCAGAAAGGGAACTGCTTCGACTTCAGCACACTGCTCTGCTCCATGCTGCTCGGCTCTGGCTACGACGCCTACTGCGTCAATGGCTATGGCTCCAAGAGCCTGTGCCACATGGACCTGACGCGGGAGGTGTGCCCGCTCATGACCACGCAGAAGAAGGTAGGCCCCGCCCACACCACAGGCCCCGCCCACACCACAGGCCCCACCTACACCAAGGCCCCGCCCACAATACAGGCCTCACCCACACCAAGGCCCCGCCCACACCACAGGCCCCACCCACACCACAGGTCCCGCAAACCACAGGCCCCGCCCATACCACAGGCCCCGCCCATACCAAGGCCCCACCTACACCAAGGTCCCGCCCACACCACAGGCCCCGCCCACAGGGTTCTGCTCCCATTAGCAAGAATCCCATTGGCTGCCCCAGAGTTGTTATATCAAACCACTGATTATTTTGCTGTCCGCAGCGTCTTAAACCCGCTGTCCCTCTCCCCTTCTTAGTTTCAGCGATTGTGTGCCCCGCCAGGTCAGTTGAGGGAAAGCCACATGCCTCCTCTTAAGTCCAACACTTCCAAATTTACCTTATGCTTTTGGTAAAAATCCATGCAGCTTTTATCATACATGGAAAAACAGACACACGGACAGGCATTTTGTTCTGTCTTCCTACCCCTCTCCCCAACCAGGGGGAGTTTTTTTTAACAACAACAACAAAAGTCATCCTGCCTCCAGATGGTGGTGGGAGTGTTGTATGTCTTGATTGAGAACTCCATGACCACAGGCTACTGTGGACCAAGAAATACTCAAAAGAGAGTTTAAATTTAGGGACCTCAAGGCATCTTGACATTTGGTGAAGAGTCTGTGCAAAGACAGAAAATGTTTTTCGTGAACTGGATTCATTCCAGGACTGTGGCATCAGTTACGCCCTGTGGGTATCTGCAGCTGGGGCGGGAGGCTTGTGCCCCTGTGTTCCACCTAGGTGAGCCCGAAACCACTCCCCCTGAAACCTCTCCCCCTCTCTGCTTTTGACTCCTAGGGCCTGTGTGCTCACATTGCAGAACTCTCATCTCAGCCAAAATGTTAATCATTAAAGTGAGATCATTAGTTAACAGCCACAGAGAACTTTCCAGTTTATAAACCACTTCCAGGGCCACAGTCTCCGTTGCCCCTCACCATAGCTCTGTGTGGTAGGCATTAGCACCCCTATTTACAAATGAAACAGGAAAGTGAGATAGCACCAAAGTTGCAGGGCTGGTAATTGGGGGTGAGGGGGGGGCTGGACTCTGTCCAACTTTCCATAGAGTCTTGCCATCCCTCCCTCATAACCTTAACAGACCCTCTTCTTTGGCCTAAGAGGAGAAAATCACATTTCCTGAGCTGCTGCCCTCACCTCACATGGGCATGTTGCTCTCTTTGGGTCTCAGAACAGCCTGGAGAGAAGGTTCTTACTCTCCTCACTACATTTGGCTGAAGTGGGAGGACTGGCCAGGTTCTGGCTGGAGGGGGCCTGAGTGAGCTGCGTTCAGGGCCTGGAAGCCCGCAGGCTGCAGGAGCCACCACCCTCTCCCGGTCTGAGGGGTGCCAGTTATGGTAGCTGATCCTTGTCATTGAGCAGATGGTGCTGGAGGAGGAAAAGGCACCCCCGAAGAAGTACACCATCAAGCCTCCCCGCGACCTGAGCAGCCGGTTCGAGCAGGAGCAGGCGATAAAGAAGTTGGAGCAGAGCAAAGCTGAAGAAGAAAGGCTGCTGAGGGAGGAGGAGGAGCGCCTCATGGTGGGTCTCCCATCCTCCCCTCAGGGCTAAGCTCTGCTTTTAAGGGGTGCTAAAAGTGGGGTGCAGACCTGGGTCATGAATGGGAGGTGTACATGGACCCCCCAGGCCCAAATCCTCTCCTCCACCCCTCCACCCCTCCACCATCTCCTCCTGCCCTACCAGCGGGGCTCGCCCACTGGAGGTCAGCAGCTCTGGGGACAGACCTCTAAGCCAGAGCGCTCTGCTGCCTGGACGGCCACTGTGTGCTGGGGGTGCTGCCCTGTCGCATTCCAGACTCTGGAACCCAGGTCATCCCTCTGTGTACCCTTGATGTCAGTTTGGAGAGGTATGGGGTTCAGAGAGCAGGGTCCTTGGGGTACCTCTGAGAAAATTTCACTAGCACGCAGTTTCCCCACGAGGCAGAGACGTTTTGTTATAGCCAAAAGGACAGGTTTATTATAAAAAGGGAAGAGAAATAAGGAATGCTCGCCCGGACCCAAGCAGGCAGAAAGAGTTGTCCCTGGAAGGGGGGACAGGTTTGATGAAAGAGGCACCTGCATAGACACGGGCAGGAGACCCTTGCGTAGGCACAGGCGGGCAGGAGGGCTCCATTTTGCAAGAGTAGAAAATGCACTGAGATAGCCTTCTCTTCTGGGAGGGGCTCATTCCTTTGTGGGATCATTAACTGCTGCTAAATTAATTATTTCTAGGGTTGGCACCAAAGGGATTTTTTTCTATATTTGGTTGCACTAGGTAGATTTGAAGGGACTGGTGATTTTCTTACAACGGCCCTGTTAATCATTTCTAGCCCCACCTCCAGTTTCTGGTCATGGGATGCCTCCTTCCCAAATTTTCTACTCGTAGCCTCCATCACCCTCTGTCCCTGCATCCTCAGGTCTCCTTGTATCCATCTGTCCTTTCAGTTCTCGTTCTAGCGCGCCAGATCTCCTTCCAGCCTCCCTTCCAGCCTCTTTTCTTCCCTCTTGTTTTTCCTTCCTCCCTTATAGTATTTACTGAGCTTCTCCTCTGTCCAGACCCTGGATATACAATAATGAACACGACACACCCTTCTCCCAGAGGGAAACACACAAGCCAGTCACCCCAGCTCCCACTACCTTTCTTTGATGACACCATGCCCAGGACCCAGCACAGAAAGCCAGTAAATCCCCCACAGCCCAGACCTCCACAAGGCCCAGGTTATAAGGCACAGCTCTAGGGCCTCCCCTGGTGGCTCAGGCAGTTGAGCGCTGCACTGTGAAGCTGTCCGCAGCCTCTGCAGCGCCGGTTTGATCCCTGCTGGCCGGCGAGGGTCCCACATGGCGCAGCAGACCTCTCCTGTCTCGCCCGCCGCTCCTCTCAGCAGTGTATTTCATCAGTCTGCCTGTTCTGTTCCCCACTCTGTCTGGTGAATCCTCTCACCCTCCCGCGCATCTGGCCTGTACCCTGGTTCTTGTATAAATAAATAAATAAATCTTAAAAAAAAAATAAATAAAGCACAGCTCTAACCCGATCCTCCAAGCTTCTGCCAAGGCTCAGAGGCAGGTGATGTGCTCAAGGTGGCGCGGCCAGCCAGGATGCAGTCTGGGTCAGCACTCTGCTCCCCACCTGAGATGTTCTAGCCCCCATGCCCCCCTTCCTACCCATCTGGCCCATGGTCACCCTCCTTTCTTACGCAGCAATTGGAGAAGGCAAACACCGACCCCCTGCATGGCCTGCGGGTGCACTGCTGGGTCCTGGTGCTGTCGGGGAAGCGTGAGGTACCTGAGAGCTTTTTCATTGATCCGCTCACAGCGCGCAGCTACAGCACCCAGGACGACCACTTCCTGGGCATTGAGAGCATCTGGAACCACAAGAACTACTGGATCAACATGCAGGACTGTTGGAACTGCTGCAAGGTGCCAGCCTGGGGCCTGGGTGGGCGTGGCAGACACAGTCAGAGGTGCACAGCAGGTAACCTAAGGAGAGAACTGGCCACTAGGCCACGGAGCCTTAAAGCAGAGCCCTCCTACTCCCCCACATTGCCCATTGGTAACCGTTCAAACAGAAGTGTTCTCTCTCCTGGTTTGTGCATCTTTGTAAAATATGGGTTGTTCATTTTTATGAATGATTTTTCAAAAACACTTTTTGTTGAAGTATGTGTCCATGCAGATGAGTACAGCTCAGTGAATTTCCAGATGTATATAGAGTATAGATATCATTCAAGTGACAAATGCATGCACACATTTGGGGGCATGTCTTAATTGGACCCAAGAGACTGTGGGCGATGTTCTGACTTGATCTGGGTGTCGGGAACCACGGTGCTTCCAGCTTGTAGAAATTCACTAAGCTGTACAAAATGCAAAGAGGGACAGGCCCCACCTATGCTCTTTTCAGTCCCTCATAGGATTGTGGGAAGTAACACCTGGCAGGGGTGTAGACTAGTCCTCTGGCCATTCAGCGTTAGTTATTGCTGCCCTCATTTTACAGAAATAACTTCTGCTGAGCTATGCAGACAGGACAGAGCCAAGACTTCCCTCCCCCTGTCATGCCCTTGGGGATCAGTCTCTGCTAAAGGATAATGGCCCCCTGAGGTTTCACAGTCCTCTGTCAGCCCCTTTCCCAGGTTCTGCCCCTTAATGCCCCCCCCCTTATTCTCCCCCCACCCCGCCCCAGCATGCCTTGCACCAGTGACAGGGAAGGAAATTCATGGCGGGGATAACAGAAGTTATGAAATGAAGGTAGAAAGGTGACCTGGTGGGAAAGAGAGGCCAAGGGGCAGTACAACGTCACCAAGTGAGGGCATGAAGAAAGATCCTGATGCAGGTGCTTTCTTTCACTGACAAATGTGCTGCTTTGTTCTTTCAAAGTGCCTTGAAAATGGTGGTGGGTGTGGGCGGGGGCGTAGAAGTGGGGATGTGCACCACACGGAGTGTGGGAAACCCCGGGCTCAGGTTCCTCCCTGCGAAGCTTTCACCATCCTCAGTCACTGTTATCTGCAAGCAGTTGTCTCCCAGACTCCTCCTCTATTTCCTCCTCTTCTCTCCCCCACCTCCGCTAGAGCAAAGCACCAGGAGCAGCCCTGCAGGATCAGACGGGAGAGTGAGGATGAGGATTAGGGCAGGTTCAGGAGCCCCTGGACTGTCATCCATAGTCCTTGATATCCCTCTGAACAGTGATTTTTGAGGGCATTGGGATGGAGGTTACACCTGGGGTCGTAGGTTGGGTTGTGGGGTGCTCCCCAATGCTGGGAGGAAAGCTGAGGCTCAGGTGGGCTGGGGTGAAAAGGAGGTGGAGGACCCATAGGAGTGAGGAGAAATAGCCAGCTGCCTCTTATGCACAATTCCACACCCCTGCCCAGTTGCATCAGGAGGCCGCCATCCCCCTCCCAGGAAACCTCACTGGCTCGAAACAAGTCTGGGATGCAGTACTGCATCACCAAGTGAGGGCACAAAGAAAGATCTTCATGTCCCCACCTTCCTCCATAGTCAGGCCTATCCCAGGCCAGCAGGGGTTTCTTCATGGGAACTTCAGACAGTGAGGAAGTGGTTCTGCCCCCTCCCTGGGCCTCTGTTTCCCTGTTGAAATGAGGATAGACCAGGATCCTCAGAGACTGCCTGGGGTTGATGGGGCTGACATCCTCTCTACCTGGGGTGCAGCTGCCCAATCCCTCAGAGCGAGAGGGGGCCTGATGACTGTGGGTGCACTCAGCTGCTCCCCTCCTCTACCAGGACATGATCTTTGACCTGGGAGACCCTGTGAAGTGGGAATACCTGCTTTTGGGGACTGATAAGCCGTACCTGGCCACTTCTGAGGAATATGAAGATGGGACAAATGAAGAAGACGATGACGTGGAGAACTTGGTGAGTCTCAGCGGCACATGGGGGTGGGGCAGCTCACGTCTCGTCTTCCTTCAGTCCAGCCTGATGAAAGTCCCCACCACTTGCATGGATATTGGGGGGGGGGGCAGTCCAGATAGACCACAGACACCTCAAAACACAAGAACCTGGACCATGCCCACATTTTACAGATGGGCACACGGAGGCCCAGACAGTCTGGTGACCTGACCACGACTCCCGAGTGGGGGAGAGAGGAGGGCTGGGACTTATATTCAGGTCTCCCGCCCCTTTCATCACCCACTCCAGTCAGGGATTGACAGTAGGAAGCATGCCTCTTGGACTAGGGGGTAAGACCCTCTCCACAAGCCCAGAAACCCCAGGCCCGGCCAGTCCTCACTTCCAGGCCTTTCTTGTCCATCCTTTCAGCCCTCCTCATGGGGTCACTGACCTGGGTCTTCCCCAGGTCTTCGGCTTCCTTTCTCTGGTCTCATAGTCAGGGGCCTTCCAGGCAGCCTGCCTGCGGCCCTGTGTGTGGAGGCCAGGGGCCCAGAGGCCTTGGGTGATGGCTGTGACACTGGGGAAATGTCCCAAAGCCACAAGCTTCTGTTTCCTTGAATGGTGGAAAATGGGGGAGTGGGGCCCGTTGTCTCATAGTAATAATAGCAGGTGCGTCTGTCTGCTAGGGCTGCCGCACAGAGCCCCAGACTGGGGGGTTCAGACAACAGAAATGTATTTTCTCGCAGCCTGGAGGTTAGACGCCTGAGATCAAGGGGTCAGCTGGGTGGCTTTCTCCCAAGGGGCCTCCTTCCCCCGGGTCCTCACACCGTCTTCCCTCTTCGTAAAGACACTGGCCACGTCAGACACACACACACCAGTGACCTCATTTTGACTTAATTACCTCTTTGAAGATCCTATCTCCAAAGTCAGATTATGAAGTCCTGAGGGTTAGAACATATGAATTGGGGGTTGAGGGGGTGGCGCCATTCTGTCTGTGACAATATGATTATACTCGTGTGGCCCTTACTATGGTCCTTAACCTGATGAACTTGTCTGCATCGCCATAACTACCCAGTGAGGTGGGCGGTAATATTATCACCCACGATTAATATCCCATTTTACAGATAGGAAGACTTAGACACAGAGAATGAAGTAACTTTCCCAAAGTTACAAGGCCAGTAAGTGACAGAGCTGAGATTTGAACTGGGGGTCTGACAGTTTGGTTCCCAAATCTGGGTTTGCAGTGGCAGCTCTGTTCTCCCTCCCAAAACTGCTTGAGTTGTGGTGTGCCTGGCACAGCGGTGTAGACGTGCCTGGAAAACACGGAGTTCTTGACACCCTCGGTGTCCCTGGAGACCTGACCCTGGCCCTGGGCAGTGAATCCTGGGGCACAGGCGCCCCCTGCTGGCCTTAATTAGATGACCAGGCCTCAGAAGTCTGAACGTCTGCGGGAGAAAAGTTGTAAATTGAGAACATCTTATCCAAACTTACTTTACAGACGGGGACACTAACTCTTGAAGAGGAAAACAAAAACAATAACAACAGCAGCCAGGCAGCATCCCAAGTGCTTTACATCAGTTAATCCTCCAACAGCATCTGGCTGAAAACAGGCTAGAGCAGTTAAGGGCCTCATCCAGGACCCCTAAGCTGGTTGGATGGATGGGGGGCTCTTAGCCAAGAGCCTGTGGTTGTGCCTGGTGCCTCTGCAGACTGGGGGAGACAGGGAACGCAGGACCAGCGTGTTGCTGTGAGCCAGGCGGGTGCAGGGGCCTTCTGGCCAAGCTGACGCCCCTCCTTCAACCCCATCTTGGGTCAGGTCAGGCCTGCTGGTGACCTCTGGCTCCCCCAGGGAGCTCACAAGCCTGGCTTGGCTGGGGGTGGGGTGGGGGTGGACACAGAGGCTCTAACCCTAACTTCTGCTCCAAGACCCAGCCCTGACCAGAACCAGCCCTCTCCCTGCAGGGCAAGGAAGATGACAACAAGAGCTTCGACATGCCTCCCTCGTGGGTGGAGCAGATTGAGATCTCCCCAGAAGGTATGAGCAGGTCTGTTTGCTCCCCAGGATCAGGTCCTGGGTCTCTGGAGCAATCTTCAGCAACAGCTAGGTCGGGGGGTGGGGGACCCCTAGGAAACAGGCTAAAGCCCCTGGCCTCTCATTTCCACCCCTCCTGCTTTTTGCTGTACCCCGTTCCTCCCTTTCTCCCCAACCCCTCCCCCCAGTTCTGTGACCAAAGGTTTAACACCTGTGTAGCATATAGGAGGGGGGCTTTAACACTCAATGGGTGATGGAGGGCGGGAGGTGATGGGGGATGGGAGGTGATGATGGAGGGTGGGAGGTGATGGAGGATGGGAGGTGATGGAGGGCGGGAGGTGATGGAGGGCGGGAGGTGATGGAGAATGGGAGGTGATGATGGAGGGCGGGAGGTGATGGAGGGCGGGAGGTGATGATGGAGGGTGGGAGGTGATAATGGAGGATGGGAGGTGATGGAGGGTGGGAGGTGATGGAGGACAGGAGGTGATGGAGGGCGGGAGGTGATGGAGGACAGGAGGTGATGGAGGATGGGAGGTGATAAAGGACATAAGTTCAAGTCCCGTAGAGCCATTTCCCTTCCTGACCCCATCCTGCTGTCAGGACCATAACCAATGATGGGGGTGAGGTCTGGGGGTGAGAGGGCGGTCATCTGAGCTAAGTTTTGAGGGATCGGAGGAGGTCAGCCCAGTGAGACAGGAGGGAGTCTTGTTCCCAGCAGAGACTTGCACATGCACAGGCCTGGCAGCGAGAGAGCGTGGGGTGGGGGGCACACTCTTCTTGGGCTCAACCCCATTCTTGGAGGGGCCTGTGCTCCTGCCTGACCTGAGAACTCCTCCAGGGGCAGAGCGGCTCTTGGTGCCCTCTCCCTCCTGCCTCCCTGGGGTGGGGTGGGGCCTGGAGGAGCTGGGCAGACAGACGAGGGACAGTGGCCAGAGGACGGCCCGGCAGGTGGCCCTCCCCCAATCTGGGGAGGAGGACCCCAGCTCCTTGTGTCCACAGCATTCGAGACCCGATGCCCAGGCGGGAAGAAGGTGATCCAGTACAAGAAGGCCAAGCTGGAGAAGTGGAGCCCCTACCTCAACAGCAACGGCCTAGTGTGCCGCCTCACCACCTTCGAGGACTTAGACTGTAAGGGGGCTGGGGAAGGCGGGGGGCAGAGACCTGGGTCCCTGACATGCTGGGTGATCTTGGGCACGTGGCTGCCGCTCTCTGGCGTGAGTGTGGGCTGGAGGCAGGGGAGGCGGCCTGGCCGCCAGCATGAATCGGGTCCCACAGGTACCAGCATTCTGGAGATAAAGGAATGGTACCAGAACCGGGAGGACAAGCTGGAGCTGAAGCACATAGACAAGACCACGGGCCTGAACACTGACTACTTCAAGCCGGGCCATCCCCAGGCTCTGCGAGGTGCATGGATGCCAGAGGGGGGCTTTGCTCGCTCGCCCAGAGAAGTCAGAGCTGGGCCAACTGCCCTTTCCGTGGCTGGGACCCAGGACACATGGGGGCGTGTTTACAGGGGGTTGGGAAGCCAACCAGTGCACCCACAAGGGGGATGCAGAGGTAGGGGTGAGAAGGGTGTGGACATGGCCAGGAGCCCAGGAGTCAGGAGGACGGGAGGTGATGGAGGGTGGGAGGCGATGGAGGGCGGGAGGCGATGGAGGGCGGGAGGTGATGGTGGTTGGGAGGCGATGGAGGTTGGGAGGTGATGGAGGGCGGGAGGCGTGTCTTGGGAGAGCATCAGCAACACTAACCAAGAACTCACCAAAGGAAAACATCGGGTTCATGTAAGTTTGAAAAAACATGATGAGCTTCACTTGATGGTTGAATTTAAAAAAAAAAAAAAACCTGATTTAAACCAATACGGGGCCATCTTACAATCCTCATGTGGGCAATGATGAAAAAAATGACCTTCTGGGTGTGAGTACGTGGTGTAAACCAGCATCACCACCTTCCTGCCGGAGGGTAGTCAGCTGGCACAGCTTTTCTGGAAAGTAACGTTTTCACTTCCACTGCTGAGGATTTGTCTGCAACAACTACCAGGCAAGAATAACAGCTGCATGGTGCAGATGTTCAGCATGGTGGGTGTAATACAAAAAGTTGAAAATGGCCTGAATCCGCAGCAGGCGGGGCTGGCCACAAGCTTCATACTCTTCCCTGAGCGTCTGTGGATGCGCCTTCTCCCAGGGCCTGGGGTGGGGTTGTCACCCCGGTGGCCAGAGCCTGGCGCTCACTGCTGTCTCCGGCCCCCGCCTCCCTCCGCAGTGCACTCGTACAAGTCCATGCAGCCGGAGATGGACCGCGTCATGGAGTTTTACGAATCGGCCCGCGTGGACGGCCTGATAAAGCGGGAGGAGACGCCCCTGACGATGACAGAGCACTACCAAGGGCGACCCGACTTCCTCTCCTACCGCCATGTCAATTTCGGACCCAGGGTCAAGAAGGTGGCTCAGAACAGCGCAGAGTCGAATCCCCGGCCCATGGTGGTGAGCGCTCCCCGGGCCTGGAGACGGGGTGCTGCCCGCTGTGGCAGGCTCAGGTCACCCCAGGTGGGGAGAACCCCAACTCTGGAGCAGTGTCTTTCCCTATCAGCCTTTCCCAAGCTCTGTGAGCCAGGTGTTTTACGGAACATGCATTCTCAAGGCTGTTCTGATGCCAAACGGTGCCCTCAGCCACTTGGCCCAGGAGGTGTTATTTCCTTACCGGTATAAAAATACACCCTGTGACTAAACATTTAGAAAATGTGGGAAAATATCAGTAGAAAAGTAATAGTATCTCAGAATGGCATCTCTTAGACATTTTGAGCATTAACAGGTATGGTTTTGAGAGTCAGTCCCAATTTAATCCAGGCTGTGTGTGTGTGTGTGTGTCTAGAACCCCTAGATCACCCCATCACACATTACATTGTGCATTTTTTTGCTGCATGCCTTTATAAATTGTTGCTATTTGGCAGCTGTGTTTGGTGGCTGATACCGAAGTTCTTTCTAGCAGGAAGGGATGTCTGGTGAGCTGCCTGAGCAGGTGCTCAGCGCCCCATCTCCAGAGGTGGGCAACAGAGTCTCAAGGAGGGAGCTAGAGGAGATCTACCCCCAAAGGGGCTGCAGTTGCCAGGCACTGAGACCCTTGGGGCCACAGGAGGCTCAAGGGATGCTCCGCTTGAACCCTCAAGTGCCCCCAGGCTGGGGTGCCCCCAGCAGCGACCCTCGCTCCTGCCCTGGGGGGATGCACAGAAGCCGCCTTTCCCACTTACCCTATGCATGTTGGGGCCGCAGAAAATCACCGAGCGGTTCTTCCGCAACCACGCCAAGGGAGCAGATGAGGATGTGGAGGAGCGTGTGTTCCTGATCCAGGAGGAACGCATCCAGCTGCGCTACCACTGCTGCGAGGACCACATCACCTCCTCCAAGCGGGAGTTCCTGCGGCGCATGGATGTGGACAGCAAAGGCAACAAGATCATCATGACCCCTGACATGTGTATCAGTTACGAGGTGGGCCTGGGAGCTCTGGCTGGAGGCCGGGGACCAGGGGCCTGGGGTTGAGGGTGTTGAGGGGAAGGAACTGGGCCTTCTGTTCCATCCTAGCAACTTAGGAGAACTAGGATTGAAACTCCTGGTTCTCAGCCTGGAAATTCATCTCTGTCCCAAGAGAAAATCAGAGCTCCCATCTGGGTACCCTTCTCTTTGCCACTCTGAAAATCTTCCCTTTACCCCCAAATAAGACAGCCTAGCTGGCCAAAACTACTCTTCATTCCTGCCTCCCCCAGCCCCCCGCAGCTCCCTTCTCTGCTGTGGACAAAGCAGACCCCACAGCCTGAGGCCAGTGCTGGGGTAGATGATCTCAGAAGCTCTGGCTGGCTTTCCTGGTTCCTCATGCTCCTGGCATGTTCCTCATCTCCACCGAGTCTCCGGTTTCTCTTCTCTTCTATGATTATTGTTTCTATAGATAAGGCAAACAAGGCCCAGAAAGGTTAAGCATCTTCCTTGAGATCACACAGCTGGAAACTGGCAGAGGGAGATTCGAACCCTGGGACTTTGGAGTCTGCCTATGACCACACCCTACAGCCTCTCTGGTCACTGTGGTGGTTGTTGCCGCAGGTGGAGCCCATGGAGCACACCAAGAAGCTCCTCTACCAGTACGAGGCCATGATGCAGTTGAAGAATGAGGAGAAGTTGTCCCGACATCAGGCCTGGGAGTCAGAGCTGGAGGTGGGGACCCCGGGGAAAGCGGGCAGGTGGGAAGCAGCACTGGCAGAGGGGGTCTTCAGCCCGTCCTTCCCATTCCCAATCCAGGTGCTAGAGATCCTGAAGCTTCGAGAGGAAGAGGAGGAGGCGCACACGCTGGCCATCTCCATCTACGACACCAAGCGCAATGAGAAGAGCAAGGAGTATCGGGAGGCCATGGTGAGCCTGCTCCCTGGCCCGGGCCTGGCTTTCCCAGACCACTCCCCAGGGCTTCTCGGGTGCTGATGATGACTTAGGGAAGCCTTTTTTTTTTTTTTTAAAGATTTATTTATTTATGCATACAAGCGCTAGGGTACAGGCCAGAGGTGTGTGTGGGGGTGGGGGGTGGTGAGAGGATTCACCAGAGACAGAGTGGGGAACAGAACAGGCAGACTGACTGAAATACACTGCTGAGGGGAGCAGCGGGCGAGTCAGGAGAGGTCTGCTGCGCCATGTGGGTAGCTCCCTGCCCGGGAATCGAACTCATGCTGCAGTAGCTGCGGATAGCTTCATAGGTTGTGTCTTAACCCCTTGCGCCACCAGGGAGGCCCTGCCTGGAAGCCCTTAACAGGGGGTGCGGTTATTGACATCACACTGAGCATCCTGGTTTCTGAGGAGCCCATGTTTATGGCTCACCCCCAAGAGCATTCAGGATCTAGGCCAGGTCTCCCCATCCCACTTCCTCCAAGTCAAGGCCTCTCTCACCATTAAAATCGTGCACCCACCTCTGCCCAGTCTCTCGTTCAGCCTTGACCTCAGCCCAACCATAGTGAACTGACTCTGGCCACAGGCCCGAGTTCTCCATGTCCCAAAGCACAGAGCATTAAGGTTACACCTCAGGATGCAAGACCCACTTAGTTTTCTAGGCCACTGCTGAATCCCCTTCCCCCAAGTTTTGGGGTTGGCGGGCAGGGTATCAGGTAATTGGCTCTCAGACTCCCAGGGAGGGGCATCAGCCTCCACACGTCCAACTTCACTGGCCTCTTGGCCAATGCAAAACGTAAGGTCTCAGGGTGAGAGAAAAAGGAAGAGAGTTACTGGCAATTTCTGGTCGTACCTCATTAATAACCACCATTTATTAAGCAAGTATTTACTGAACGTTATATACGTGCTGAGACTCAGGGAATTCATTTAAGACATGAGTGTTACCAATAACGGCAGGTAACAAGAGCACACAGGCTCTCTCTGAGCTACCAGGCCTGAGGAGTGGAGGCCTGGTTTTGGGGGGTCCTGCGTTGATACAGAGCTGGCGGGGGTCTCTGCAGCTCTTGCTGGTCCAGCTGACCCCTTGTCCCCACAGGAACGTGTGATGCACGAGGAGCACTTGCGGCAGGTAGAGGCCCAGCTGGACTACCTTGCCCCATTCCTGGCACAGCTGCCCCCGACAGAGAAGCTGACACGCTGGCAGGCCATCCGGCTCAAGGACGAGTGCCTCAACGACTTCAAGCAGCGGCTGATTGACAAGGCCAACCTCATCCAAGCCCGTTTTGAGAAGGTGCGGTCAGAGCCCAGGCAGAGGAGGGACATTGGCATCCTCATGCTGGGAGTTTCCAAATGACCGGTTTGGCCTTCCTCACTCCTGTTCATTAGGTGGAAGGACAGGTGAATGCAGGACTGGGTGGAGGTGGGTGGAGAGATGAAAGGCAGGATGGATAGGTAGGTAGTGGATTGGTGGGTGGGAGGCAGATGCCTGGTTGAGTAGGTGGGTGGGAGGACTGATGATGCATTTTAACGACATTTAGTCCTTGACCCATTTCTGTGGGCCAGGTGGCCCTGTGTGCTTCCCACATATTATCTTATTTCATCTTCTCGAAGACTCTATGGGCAGATGTGTGTGTGCAGTGGTTCTCATTCTGCAGACAAGGAATTGAAGTCTCTGAACATACCAGTAACTTGTCCAGCATCATGTGGCTCTCAATCTTGACCCCTACTCTGACCGTTCTGATGTGATAGATACGACTCCACAAGACCACCGTGGCTCCCATCCAAAATATTTTGCTGCCCTCATTTCTGCTCCTCTGGCTTCTGCCGGTGGGACTCCAGTCTGGGTGACAGTCAGTCCTCATCAGCTGTGCTGTCCACTCCTCCCTGTGCCTGCAGGAGACCCAGGAGCTACAGAAGAAGCAGCAGTGGTACCAGGAGAACCAGGTGACCTTGACGACTGAGGATGAAGACTTGTACCTGAGTTACTGCTCTCAGGCCATGTTCCGCATCCGCATCCTGGAGCAGCGGCTCAATCGGTGAGGGGCTGGGGAGCCAGAGGGGACCCACTAGAAAGCTGGAGCATCAGCTTTGTTACCCCCATCACCTCTCACTCCGCCCTCTAATTTCAGACATAAGGAGCTGGCCCCACTGAAGTACCTGGCTCTGGAGGAAAAGCTCTACAAAGATCCACGCCTGGTGGAGTTCCTCAAAGTCTTTGCTTGATGACCCTCCGGCTCCTCTGGCCCCTGCATGCCCCTTATGGGCCTCAGCTGAAGCTGCCAGAGAAAGAAACCTGCCCCCCCACCCACCCGCCCGCCCCAGTCCCTGTGCTCCTACCCTTAGCTAATGACCATCGACTCAGGCACCAGGCCCCACTGCCACTCCACCCCCCTGTAGCCCTGTCTGTCCTGCTTCTCATGAGTTCCCTATAAATGAACACACTTTAAACTTGCTATTTGTACCTCATGTTTCACAGGCACCAGCACCAGCCTTTATCTCTTTTCCTTCTGTAGCAGCGGGAAGGCCACAGGGCAGGATCTCTATGATTCAAACAGACAGGTAAAGCAGGAGTCCTGGAGCCCTTGGTGGCTTTTGCAGGCTTTTACTGGGGTTTACCAGGTCCACGGCAGGCAGGAGGTCTGGGGTGCCAGGAGGCTGGCAGCAAGTCTTCACTCTTTCTGGGCTCTCTGGCGTTCTCTTGTAGCCTCTGCTTCTCTGCTGGTTCTCTTCCTGGTGTCTTTCACTCTGCTGTCCCCGTGACGCTGCCCTTATAGGCACAGTCTCAGCTCAGGTGAACCTACCTACTTATGCCCACACCCCACTCCAGGTGCCTGCCATCAGGAATGCATTCAGGACCGCAGGGATCCATCAGCAATCCTAATGGCCGGAGGGCAGAAAAGCCTGACACTTACCCTACAACTTCTTTATAGCAGGGATCACCCCACTCCCTCAACTTGACCACCTTCCTCACTTGCTTCCTGTTCACCTTTCCATTGGAATGTTGCAGTATCTCTGCAGGTGGCCCCAGAGCTACCTGTAAACATCTAGTTAGGTCTCAATGTGACTAGGGTGGCCCAGCTCACAAAGTGAGAATAGCAAAATTCAGATAGCAACAGGCAAAATCCATTTGGGATGGTGTACCAGGCCCGTTGCCTCTGAAATATCAATGTCATAAAAAAAAAAAAAATTAGGGGACTGAAACAGGATAAGATTTAAAAAGCCAAATATGCTGAATCTACGTGGAAAGTTGACATCTGCAGAGCCATTTTAAAAATCGAGCTAGGCAGCCATTCCTGAGACATTGTCTCACCTGTCTTTGATTTAGGTAAAGGAGCTTTTAACTTCTAATCTCTGGCAAAAAGTCCCTAATCTTCAGTCCCTGGGATCCACATGATTTCTCAAACAATTGTTTGCTCCAAGATTTCTTAAGGAAATGACAGGGAATTTTTACAGGCAGAATCAGTAACCAATTAAATGTAGCCAAGAACAGGTTAAGCTTGTTATACTAAGTCTTCTCTTTCCCTACTTATTTCATCTTTCCACAAAATCTCCTAACTTTGTCCCTCCTCCGGGTTCCTCCTGTTATAGAGCAACCCCGATATTAAGCGGGTTCCTGGCTGTGGGTCCTCACCCGCGCGCTTTAAAGGGACTTATGAATACTCTACTACAGACACACGCAAAAGGGTTAATAAAAGGTTTATTTACAAAAAAATAAAAAATAAAAAAAATGTACAACTCAGGGAGAAAATAGGGAAATAAAGTTTTTAATGCGTCCTACCTGATCCGACGACCTGGAAACCCAAAGTCACTCTCAGAGGTGGCCGGACGCTGCGAGCTGGCCGAGAGCCCAAAAATGGAGAGCCCCCAAAGCCCACGTGTCTGCCTTTTGTATCCACCTGGCTGCTTAACCCCACCCTCAGGTCCCAGCCACCTTCCCTTTGGTGGTGATGGGATTTGGAGTTCCCAGTGTCTTTGGCTTTGACCTGGGGTGGGGGTGGAGTCCACAAAGCCTATATGGAATTTGCTTTGGGACATCCTTTTCCCCCTAACACTCCTAGATTCCAACCTGAATTTGTGAATTGCCATTCTTTGATAGGAATGGTCATCTAGTTAAGAAAAAACTGAAGATCTTTTTGGAATGATTCAGGAAATCTTATATGCGCCAGATGTTAGAGAATATTAGTTCTGTTAGAGGTGGTAATACAATGGTAGGGAAAGGGCCTTGTTTTTAAGAGCTACTTGTTTAGGTCGGGGTGAAATCTCATGACGTCTCAACTTTTGATGGAATCCGAAAAAAATAACATATCAAAGTAAATATGGCAAAATGTTAGCAAATAATGAAAATTTAAAATTCATGGGGTAGGTACCTGGGTCACACTGTATTATCTGAAAGGTTCGGTGTGGTAAAGAAAAGGAGAGTCAGGCTACATTTCTCAAAGGGAGGGAAAGTTTATTGCACCCCGGGCGGACCTCACAGACCCAAGGGGGGGGGGGTCAGTGGAGTCGCGCACGTTGTTAGGGGGAAGCAGGGTTTTATAGGGCGAGGAGAGGTCAGGTGGGTAGTTGGGCTCGGACGGCGGGAAAAGTTTGTAGGGCAGGTAGAGGTTCTTTGTCTGAGATGAGACTCATAGGGGGAGGGGGGAGGCTCATTGTCTGAGTCCTCCAGGCAGGTATCCGCATTCCTGCCCCCCAGGTGGGCTTCCTGGTTGGCTCCTGCATTCTGGCTTCCTGCATGGACCTTTCATTATCAAAACTATTCAACTGTTATAGAGCAGCCCCGATACAAAACGGGGTGACTGACTGTGGGTCCTCACCCGCGTGCTTCAAAGGACTTATCAATACTCTACGGCAGGCACACGCAAAAGGTTAATAAAAGGTTTATTTACAAGGGAAGGGCAAATGAGGAAATGTACAACTCAGGGAGAAAAGTGGAAGACAAAGTTTTAAATGGGTCCTACCCGATCCACCGATCTGGAACCCCAAATGGTACTCTGAGAGCTGGCCTCAAGCCAGGAGGTGAGAGCAACCCCAAGGCCCACGTGTTTGGTTTTTATACCACTCTTGGCTGCTTAACTCCACCCTCATGTCCCAGCCACCTTCCCTTCGGTGATGACGGGATTTGTCTTTCCCAATGTCCTGATGGCTTTGGTCTGGAGTGAGGGTGGAGTCCACAAAGCCTGTATGGGATTAGCTCAGACCATCCTTTCCCCCTAACATAGCCACTGTTATGTCAATGAAAATAACAAATAAATAAACGAAGGGGAAATGCGAAAAAGTTAAAGGGAATGACACAGGGCGGTCCCTTGAAGAGAGCAGCCCATTCATACATCCACCAAGGTCTAGGCCCTGCAGATTCCACTCGGCATCTAGCTCCGCTCCCCTTTAGGCCTCTTTGGCTCAATCCCGCGTCCGAGCCAAAGAAGAGGAGCAAAGTCCTCAGACCACGGCGGTACCGCCCCGGGGCAAAGGGAAGAAGCAGGAATCGTGGCAAAATGCTGAATAAGACTTCGCCCTCGCTTCGCCCCACTCCAAGATGGAAGGCCAGTGGCTTCACCCGACTCCCGAGGACCCCTTCCCATTGGCTAGCTGGGACAGGGGCTTGCCAACAATATTGGTGCTTATTGGTCAATCTAGGACTGTTGCTAACGCGATTGGTGAAGTCGCCATTAGAAGGCGTCGCTCAAAATTTTTCAAACGCAAACCAGGTTCCAGCACGGGAAGGAAAGGAACAGCTTGATGCGGAGGCGGGATCAAGGAAATGGCAGCCTGCATTGGTTCACCAGAGGCTGAGGGGCGGCTCTTGTACGCTCCGTCCTTGTGATTCGTCCATTTCGGGTAGAGGGGGCGGGTACTTCGAAAAGCGGCATAAGCGCCTCTTTCGATTGGCCAAATCTAGCGAGAGGCGGAGCGCCTGCGGCGGCTGATTGGCGGGGCAGGTGAAGAAGGCGGGGCTATGACCCGGAGGTTTTGTTGTGAGGGTCGGTTGTCAAGCAGCGTCCAATCAGAGCAGGGGATGGAGGCAAGTGGGGGTCGCGCCTGGAGCAGAGCCTCGGCCTCCGGAGCCGCCGCTGCAGGTAGAGTGGGCCGAGGGGGCGAGGAGGCTCCGCGACCGTGGGCGGGGAAGTCGGCCCAGCCCGGCGGGGCGGGGCGGGGCGGGCGGCGGCTCCGGCGGTGGGGACGCCGGCTTCCGCGCCCCGCAAGCTGAGAGGAGTAGGGGGGATCTGGCGAGGCCGAGGGACCAGCCCCAGCCTCGGGACTGGCGGGACCCGCTTGGGGGCTGGAAGGAAAAGCCCGGGAGGCCGGAAGCAGAGCTGGGGGTCTGCAGGAGGATGGATGATGACGAGGGACCCAAAAAGCAGGAGAGTGAATGAATGGGGGATACCGCGAGCAGAGGGGGAAAGAATTAGAGGGGGTGCAGAAGAGGCAGGAGCCAAGTGAGGGAACTCGGGAGACAGGACGTGCCCGGGTGGGGCTTGGGGAAGGGGTGTGCACGGGAGCACTGGAGAGGCAGCTGGGGGAACCCGGTAGACAGATAAGGAGAGCAGAGGGTTCATGGGAAAGAGGTGTGGGGTTAGGCGGCCCCATGAGGTAACCTTTTGTAGTTCAGGAGTCATTCTGACTCGAATCGGGCCCGAACCTCGTTCCCAGCACTATCCTTGGAATCGCAGGGCCAGGAGTAATTCCCGTGCCACAGACTGGGGAGTTGGATCCTCAGGGCCCTGTTTGAGGTTTTCCCCAGAGAAGACTTCAAATGCCTGGCTGTGGGCTGCCTCTCATGGGCCACTAAGCTTAGCTTCTGACTCCACCCCCTTCCCATACAAAACAGTGACAAAACAGTGACTCTATCTGAAATCTGTCTGAACTGCAGACATGTGGTCTTCCCCGCCCCACTGCGGCTGCTGCACTTCAGGTGGCCAGGATTCTGGAGCAGAGACTCCTCCCAGCATCCTGGCCTCCGGGAGGACCTGTTTTTTTCTCTGGGTTCCAAGTGGCCCCTCTCCAGCTTCTCAAACCCAATTTGTAGTGCAGCTTCTGACTCTGGTGGCATTGGTGGGTGTCCGTCTTATCAAGTGGCCTCGGTGATGCAGGGAGCTGCAGCCACAGTTCTGCAAACCCAGGGTCCCCCAGCTACCATTGAGTGTTCCTAACAAGCCATCCCTGTTTCCATTCCAGCCCAGTGGTAAGCTGAGATGGCTCAAGCCTGACATTCCATGACCCAGGATCCCAACGGACATACACAGGCTGCTGCTGTGGTTGCTGTGGACGATTTAAAACCGCAAGGTGGTCGGGGGCCGCAAGACAAGGCATTCCCTCTGCCTGGATGTGTGGGAATTCCCTGCCAACTTGATTGGCTAATCTGGGGGGGATCCACCCCCCACCCCAGGAGGAAGCACTGTCTATTTTGTGGGTGGAGCTTCAGGTGCCAGCCAGCTGAAGGATGGCCACCCCTGTGGTGACCAAGACCGCCTGGA